CCACTCTTGCGTAGACCAACTGCTGAGCTGTGGTGCCAGTGGCTGGGGGTACGTGTCGCTCTTCTGATCATCCGAAAGCCCCCAACATCGCCTCCGTGAAGGTCGCCATGCCAGGAATTCCTGCGTCAGCTCTCACTCCCCATCGTCCTCGCACATAGCGTTTATCAGGGTGAAAACAAAACCGCCAAAGTTCGACTGGCGGTGATCGCCCAGGTACCGCTCGGCGTCGACTCGCCTTCTGCACCGCCCACGAGACCCTCTTGATGTCCGCTCGAGCGCACTCCTCCATCTCCACCGTCCGGTCGGGCAGCACCTCCGTCGACTGGATGAGCTCAGGTGGGTCCTCTTCCGTCGCCGACATGCCGCCACTGTTCCTGCTGCTTGCCACACCTCCAGCCATTCAGCCCGAGAGGGTTGGGTCACCCTGATTGCCTTGCCGCCCCTCTTCTTTGGGCCGAATCTGCACCGTCCCGCCTCGCGTGAGAGACGCATCGCCAGTGCCAGCTTCCTAGCCCTCCAGGCCGTCTCGATCTCCTCCTCCATGTATCTCCGCTTCGCTGCCCGTTCCTGACGCCGCTGCTGGTGGAGACGGTGGGTGACCTCCTTTAGTTCGGACTCGACTTGGTCCAGGGAGGGTGACACCGTACTTGCTTCTCCCAGGGCGGTACCATTTTGCGCGGAAAGAGAACCCAATGCTACCCTTAAGTCGGCTCGTTTTCGAAGTAGTTCGCGTCGAAGTGCCGCATCACCCTGATACTGATGTTTCCTGCCAGGTCGGAATAGCTGCTGCCCTGCCTCGACCAGCACTCGATTCATGTAGTCGAGAAAGACATCGGGATCCCCCCTGCGAAGCATATCTGTCCACTGTGGGTCCTCAGTCTGCAATCGTTGTTCGACCGCTAGCAGAAGGTCCCGCTTCAAGTCGCCCTCCCCGCGTAGTGCATCCAGAATCTTATCATTGTCCCACTCCGTGCGCGGTGCCCGCTGGATCTGCTCCGAGAGTCTCGGGATATCAATCTGCGACATGATGGGCACGTGATCCTGCGGGGGCGGGCCCCTAAACGCTTGCAGTTGCGCTCCCAGCCCTCGCAAAGTGTGGCAATGCTCCACCGCGTCGGCCATGTGCGTCGGGAAGGGCATAAAGTCGATCATGGAGCTGCCCCCCTTCGCACTGAAGTATGTTGGGCAGATCCCATATCTCGCATTCGCCGCCATCAGGTGGGGTTTTGCTGCCTGCGACCTCACTGTCTCACCTCCTCCAAATCTCCGAGCCTCTCTCGTAGCCGCCGTCTCCGAAACCACCCCATCATCGATCCACCGCCACTTTGCAGACTTGCGGCTCAACCCTATGCCGTCGTTCACGTCCGAGTGCACGATGGGGCAGCAGCGGGCAGGCAGGCTGCTGATAACTTTGTCCAGCCACTTGCCCAGGACGCGCGTCGTCTCCAGGTAGAAGGGGACCTGCTCCGCCCACCTCGGCTGGGGCGGGCAGTACAGGACCACCGAACAGATGTCTGGGCAATTGTGCTTCAACCGTACAGCCAGTGATCTCCCTCCCGCCCCTTTCGGACTCGCCCACACTCTCACAATGACGCTGAGACGATAAGCTCGATGCAGAATAACCGCGCAACCTGTACTGCTGTTAGTGTAATGCCCAGGACTATACTCACTCTCGATGATCCACTGCCCCTGAACTCGGCGCTGGAGGGGTTCTTCTGCTTTGCGATCACACGCTTGAGTACCCCCTAGCATAATGAAATCGAACGACCTGCAAGCCAGAACAATGTCCTCAAGGCGGTCACCACGGGCGCTCTGAGGGTTCCAGGCGGAGGCGGAGGAGAAGGAGGCGTTGGTATCGGTTCCACGGTCGGGAACTTTTAGATAGCGCGTCGCTCCACCAATTCTGGCCCCACCACCTCGACTCGGCGCGACACGCTATCAAGCCTTCCCTTGCCTTCCGCCCCGCGGAGGGGAGCGCTTCGCTATCCGCTCGCAAGGCATAGCGTTTCGCCGGGGCCGCCGCGGCGACACGTGGAGTGGCCAGCCGGCAGCTGCCGGCCCGCGCCGGAGGCCAGGATCAATTCCAGCCCCCCAGCCCGTCAGCAGCCCCACCAGGGCCAGCCAGCGGCCAGGGACGGGCCGGGGCGGCAGAGGGCCTCCCGCCCTGGCGAGCACACGTGTGCACAGATGCGCCCTGGCTGATGTGGGCGCGCAGGCGTGCTGGCGGCGCCCAACCCTTCGAGTGGGACGTCCCGTGGGCGGCCCGCCAGCGACGCTTCAGAGCTGGGAGTAGTTGTTCCCCGTGGTTATCCCAGGCCGACTTCGTCCTTCTCCTATAGCCACTCTGCTCCTTGACCCTCCTGCTGCCTGCCCACATCTCCTGTCTCCACCCTCCCAATTCCTCCTCTTCGCCCTTCCCCCTTCCTCCTCATCCTCCTCCCCTATCCCTTCTCCTTCTCCGCCTCCTCCTGGGCCCTGCTCGTTTACATTATCCCTCATCCCCCCGCCTCCGCCTCTTCCCCGATCCTCCATCCTCTTCCTCCTTCATCCCCCCTCCTGCTTGTCCCCCTTCCCCATCTCTTCTCCCTCCTCCTTCCTCCACCTCCTCCTCATCCCTTCTCCTCCTCCCCCTCCTCCTCCCCCTCCTCCTCCTCCTCCTCCTCCATTCACTATTCTCGTCCCTCTCACCCCTCCCTCTCCCTCCTTGCACACACTTCACACTTCTCCTCCCTTCATTCTGCCCCCCCCCCCCTCTGCCGTCTTCCCCTTTCTCCCCTGTGCGGCACTCACCCCGCAGGCTACGACCTCCACTACCAGATAAACATAACCGACATCGACGACAAGATCATATTGCGCTCCAGGCCACGGGAGCAGGAGCGGAGCGGCAGAGAGGAGGCGGGGACGGAACGTATTCCACGAGGGCTTGGCGCGAGGGGGCCAGCCGTCAGAGGAGGCGCAGGGGCTCCTCGGAAGGCAGCCGGGGCCTGCTCAGGAAGCCCCGGAGGAATGCCTCTCAGAAGCCAGGCGCGCCTCCAAGAAGCACCCCCCCCTCCTGCCTCCCGAGAAAAGCCCCCTCCGCCCTCTCAGAGGTCCGCCCCCCCCCCTCGCGCCCTGAGCCCTCTGCGAAAGCGCCGCCGACTTCCGCCGCCTCGAGGGGTGCGGCTCGCGCGTGCATCGCCCCAGAGGTCCCCCGCGGCGCTCGGCAGCGAGCCCTGGCAGCGGGTCCCTCGCTTGTCTCTTCGGACGGGGCCAGGACGAGGATGGCTCCGTCCCAGAGCGTTCCGGAACGCTCTGCGTCCCAGAACGCTCTGAGCAGGCCGCGGCGCCCGAGACATCCTACAGAGCCGCCGGATCTCAGAGATTCCCGATGTATCGTCACCTGGATTTATCCTCGTCCTGGCTTCGTCTCACCTCCAGGCCCCGTCGGCCACAAACGCAGGGGCACATGCCGTGCCCGACCGGACCTCCCAGCGGATCAGAACCTTCCCAGTGGAGCTCCGGCCTGCACTCTGGAGGCTGCCTCTCCCCCCGCCTGCAGGCACCTACATACATCTCCAGCACGGAGGACCTCCGAAGTGGAAGTGCTCGATCCTCTGGGCTGCTGGCTCCGTGCGGAACGGCTCCTGTCGTGTCAGCGCGGCGGCGGCCCCGGCGCCAGCCTTCAGGGTGGAGCGCCGCCGGTGGCCGGGCCCCTCCTCCTCCCTCCTCCTCCCTCCTCCTCCCTCCTCCTCCCTCCTCCTCCCTCCTCCTCCCCCCTCCTCCCATCGAGCGGCTTGTGCCTTCGGGAGGCCCCGAGCGTCCAGAGTGGAGCGGCCGGAGCGGTGTCAGAGGCCAGCCCTGAGGTCGTCAGCCTGCAGTGTGGAAGCGCATGCCAAGAGACATCTGGCTTGCCTCCAGGGTGCCCTGGGTTGCTTGGGTGTCGATGCTTGTTGCTATGGAAGCTTTCTTGTGGTTTCCTGTGGTCTCAGGTTTGGTCGCCTGTGGTCTCAGGTTTGGGTTGCTTGTGGAAGCTTTCTTGTGGTCGAGCTCCTACCGCAGCTGCCTCGATACGCCAGCTTTGAACGCAACACGCACCGTGCTCAAAACGTCCGTGCCAATACGTTGCGTGTCGGCTCACCGTGTTGGCCCACGTTTTGGCAAACGTATCGCGTCATGCCTACGTTTTCAGTGTAAGTGCTGAGCCCCGTATCAGTAGGCTACGTGTTGCGTGTTGCGTATCGGGGCAGCTGAGGTCGTCACGCCACGAACCTGCCGTGCAATCAGGACGTTTGCACCAGGACCGCCCTGGGCTCAGGATGAGCCTCGGGCTTTCGGGCCGCAGGTCGGGGGGCCTCTCATCGTGGCCGAGGCTCGACACGTCCGGTCGTCCCATGTTGCGAAGATCGTGCGCTGGTGCCGCCGACAATGAAGGGGGACGACGGCGACGGCGACGGCGACCGCGACGACGACGGCGACGGCGCCGGCGACGGCGACGGCGACGAACAACACTCAACAGTTGCATGATAATCATTGAAGTTGTCGCTTCTTGTTGGGCCTCCCCCACAGTCGGGCCTTTGAAAGAAGGAACGCTACAGAAGGAACGAAGCCTTTTTCTGGCCCTCAAAGCGCCTCCGTGCCGCATGAGGGCAGGAGGAACAGCAACGCAGGGACCTGGAGCATCGAGCCCTCTCTTAACCCAAATGGTTCCGTATTTCAGCGTCCTGACTGCATGGTAGCACGACGGCTGTACTCCAGATTTCGTAATAAAGGGAGGGGGGTCTCATTTCGGGGGGGGGTCTCTTCCAGGCTATCTTGGAGGGCCTGGGGGGTCTGGGGACGATGTTTTGGAGGGCTCTCCCACGGGGGAGGTCTGAAATGGCTCGTCTTGGAGGGTCCAGACCCCCTCCCTTTTGCTACGAAATCTGGAGTTCCCGTTCCGGCCCAAGGCCCCGGCTCCAGGCCCAAGACGCTCGCCCGCGGCGCGCCCGCGCAGGGCGCGAGCCGAGCCGAGCCCCTGCCGCATGCACGGCCGCACGGGCGCGCCCGCTCGGGTGCCGCCGCCTCGGATGCCGCCGCCCGCGCCGCTGCCCGAGGCGCCCGACTCGCCGAGGGAAGACGCCGAGGACTCCGACCCGCCGGAAAGCTTGTACACCAGATTTCGTCATAAAAGGGAGGGGGTCACAACCCTCCCAGACGAGAAGTCTTAGACCCCACCAGGCCATCCATGAAAGGGCGGCCCTTTGCCCAGACCCCCCCGAGCCCTCCAAGACAGCTCAAATCAGACCCCCCCAAAATGTGACACCCCCCCACTTTCGAATCCGGAGTACACTATGCCCCAAAGCCCCAAAGTCCTGGTCGGTCGTGGATTTGGTCTACAAAATTACCTAACAGCGAAGACTGATAGGTTTCTAGTGGGATCAAAAGAGAGCAGCAGATCACTCCACAGGGGGGTCCGGGCAGGTGTTGGGAGTTGCCGGGCGGCAGGTGCCGGGCTCGTTTTTCACCAACAGTCACACACTTCGTGCTCTTCGACTTCCCAGAACTCCATTCCCAGGCCACATTCTCAATACCCGGATGCAACAGTCACACACTTCGTGCTCTTCGAGATCCCAGAACGCCATTCCCGGGCCACATTTGGATAACCGGATGCAACAGTCACACACTTCGTGCTCTTCGAGTTCCCAGAACTCCATTCCCGGGCCACATTTTGGATGCCCGGAGCCAACTGTAGGCCACTTCGTGCTCTTCGAGTTCCCAGAACTCCATTCCCGGGCCACATTTTGAATGCCCGGAGCCAACTGTAGGCCACTTCGTGCTCTTGAGTTCCCAGAACTCCATTCCCGGGCCACATTTTGAATGCCCGGAGCCAACTGTAGGCCTTCGGAGCCAACGCCACTTCGTGCTCTTCGAGTTCCCAGAACTCCATTCCCGGGCCACATTTTGAATGCCCGTAGCCAACTGTAGGCAACTTCGTGCTCTTCGACTTCCCAGAACTCCCATTCCTGGGCCACATTTTCAGCAGGGGCAAGAGCACGACGAGGAGGAGGACGAGCAAGACCAGGAGGACGAGGACGAGCAGGAGCAGGACGAGGAGCAGGAGGAGCAGGAGAAGAAGGACGAGCAGGAGGAGGAGGAGGACGAGCAGGAGGAGGAGGACGACCAGGAGGAGGAGGACGACCAGGAAGAGGAGGAGGAGGAGGAGGGGAGGGGGAGGAGTACCAGGAGGAGGAGGAGGAGGAGGGAGGAGGAGGAGGAGGAGGAGGAGGAGAGGAGGAGGAGGAGGAGGAGGACGAGGACGAGGAGGAGGAGGAGGGGGGGGGAGAGTACCAGGAGGAGGAGAACGAGGACCACCAGGAGGAGGAGGAGGAGGAGGAGGAGGAGGAGGAGAGAACACCAGGAGGAGGAGGACGAGCAAGACGAGGAGGACGAGAACGAGGACGACCAGGAAGAGGAGGAGGAGGAGGAGGAGGGGAGGGGGAGGACTACCAGGAGGAGGAGGGGGAGGAGGAGGAGGAGGAGGAGGAGGAGGAGGAGGAGGAGGAGGAAGAGGAGGAGGAGGAGAGGAGGAGGAGGAGGAGGAGGAGGACGAGGAGGAGGAGGGGGGGGAGAGCACCAGGAGGAGGAGAACGAGGACCACCAGGAGGAGGAGGAGGAGGAGGAGGAGGAGGAGGAGAGAGGAGAGAGCACCAGGAGGAGGAGGACGAGCAAGACGAGGAGGACGAGAACGAGGACGAGCAGGAGGAAGAGGAGGAGGAGGAGGAGGAGGAGGAGGAGGAGCAGGAGAAAGAGGAGGAGGAGGAGGAGGCAGGCTGAGGCTGAGGCTGTGACTGCGACTGCCGTTGCCGCTGCGACTGTCATCGCGAATGCGACTACGACTGCGAGAACAGCAGAATTCGACAACTGGATTTTCATCTGAATCTTAAGGGGAATGCTTTCAGATATGCTTCTACACATCGCTGTTAGGTTGCTTTGCCGGGATAATTTTATACGTTTCGCGGAACCCCACCAGCCCATCCAGAAACGGTGCCCAGAGGAAGTGCCTGGATCAGGGAAGCGGCGCAGCACACAGAGGAAGGGTCCCCCAGTGGAGGCCTCTCGGAGAGTCTTGGGGGCCTCTTGGCGGTCCTGGACGCCTCTTAGAGCGTCTTGGGCGCCTCTTGGGGCCCTCTCAAAGCGCTCTTGGGAGCCTGGAGGTGGCTCTTGGGGCCCTCTTGGGCCATCTTGGAGCCATCTTGAAGCCTCGGATGGCCATCGAAAGCGAAAAGGTGAGAAATCAAAAACATTGATTGTCCTAGGGTTCTAGAAGGATTTGGGCCTCTTCGCGGCCTCCCGGGGGAGCTCTTTGGCCACTTGGAGCCGTCTTGGAACGGTCTTTGGGCCTCTTAGAGCATCGTGTGAGCCATCTTGAGGCATCTTGGGATATCTTGAGCTATCTTGGAGGTCATCTTGGGCTCTCCATGGTGCTCTTGGAATCATCTTAAGCTGTGCCCCCCCCAGGCAGGAGGCCAGCATGTGGCCAAAACCTTATTGTAGAATCACTGATTGTTGCATTTTCGCCAAGGCCCTTTGGAGCGTTTTGGGTGCCTCTGGGGGGCCTGTTGGGACCTCTTGGGAGTCTCTTGGGAGCCTCTTGGGGGCATACTGTGGGCTCCTGGCCACCTCTTGGGGCCCTCTTGGGGCACCCTTGGGAACCTTGGGAGCGCTCGTTGGGCCATCTCGGAGGAGATCGATCAAAGCAGGGGGGGTCCTGAATTAGCGTTGCCCCCCCAAGAGGTCAACATGGGGCCAAACCCTAGTAAAACAGATGATTTCGGCTTCCTCGCCGAGGCCGTTTTGGACGCTCCGACCGCTCGCAGAACGCCCCGTGGAGGTCCAGGGGAGGGGGTAGGGGAGGGATCAAGACGCCTTCCCCGCCCGCAAGCCGTCCCGCTCACTCCCACCCGCCCTCCCAACACATACGCAGCACCCGACCCTGGCCCGAGCCGCAGCAGATTCAGCAGTCGTCTTTGGACGGGCAGCTACTGGGGGCGAATCCGCCGCCGCCGCCCGCCGCCGCCGCGCCGCCGCCGCCGCCGCCGCCGCCGCCGCTGTCCGCCGCCGCCGCCTCTGCGCCGCCCGCCGCCGCCGCCGCCGCCGCCGCCACCGCCGCAGCCGCTGCCCCCGCCGCAGCCGCCTCAGCCGCCGCCGCCGCCGCTGTCGAATCGCCGCCGCCGCAGCCGCTGCCGCCACCGCTGCCGCCGCCGCCACCGCCGCCACCGCTGCCGCCGCCGTCCCCGCCGCCGCCGCCACCGCCGCCTCCGCCGCAGCCGCCGTAGCCGCTGCCCCCGCCGCAGCCGCCGCCGCCACCGCCAAGTGTACTCTGTATGGTTTTTGGCAGGGATGGTGGGGGAGGCCGCATCGGGTTCGCTGCGCATGCTCCGCATTTGGAGGCAGAGTGTGTGTTTGCACGTTCCCCAACCAACTTGTGTTGTTGGGTCCTCGTTTTGAAGAGACGGTCCCCGCGTCTCCTCCTCCTCCTCCTCCTCCTCCTCTTCCTCCTCATTCTCCTCCTCCTCCCTCCTCCCCTTCTTGCATCATCACCATCATCATCGTCATCATCATCATCCGCATTGTCATCATCATCACCATCATCATCATCATCATCATCACAGTTATCACCGTGATCATCATCATCACCATCATCATCGCCATCATCGCCATCACCATCGTCAACACCATCATCATCAACATCATCACACGCTTCGTTGCCCCATATGGGGCTCCACCGACGATTCCCGGCGCAGTCCGCATGCGTCTCACTCACTCAATACAAGCGCTTCGTGGCCCCATAGGGGCTCCGCCGAAGGTCCCAGTGGCGCAGTCCGCATGCGTCCCCCTCACCCAGTACAGCGTTTCGTGGCCCCATATGGAGCCACACGGAACGCCCCCGTGGCGCAGTCCGCATGCGCCTCCCCCGCCCCGTACACCGTTTCGTCGCATCAAAGGGAGCGCCACCGAAGGTCCCCGCGGCGCAGTCCGCATGCGCCTCCCTCACCCAGTACAACGTTTCGTGGCCCCATAGGGAGCGCCACCGAAGGTCCCCGTGGCGCAATCCGCATGCGTCTCCCCCATCCGCTACACCGTTTCGTGGCCCCATAGGGGCTCCACCGAAGGTCCCCGTGGCGCAGTCCGCATGCGTCCCCCTCACCCAGTACAGCGCTTCGTGGCCCCATAGGGAACCCCACAGAACGCCCCCGTGGCGCAGTCCGCATGCGTCTCCCCCACCCAGTACAGCGCTTCGTGGCCCCATAGGGGCTTCACCGAAGGTCCCCGTGGCGCAGTCCGCTTGCGTCTCCCTCGCCCAGTACAGCGCTTCGTGGCCCCATAGGGAGCCCCACCGAAGGTCCCCGTGGCGCAGCATGCGTCTCCCCCACCCAGTACAGCGTTTCGTGGCCCCATAGGGAACCCCACAGAAGGTCCCCGTGGCGCAGTCCGCATGTGTCTCCCTCACCCAGTACAGCGTTTCGTGGCCCCATAGGGGACTCCACCGAAGGTCCCCGTGGCGCAGTCCGCATACGTCTCCCCCACCCAGTACAGCGCTTCGTGGCCCCATAGGGAGCTCCACGGAAGGTCCACGTGGCACAGTCCGCATGTGTTTCCCCCACCCTGTACACCTACGTCGGAAGCCGTCGGAGTTCCGCGCCTCGCTCGCCCGCCGTCGCTCTGCCCAGCGGCAAGAGCCTTGCCCGCTATCAGCCAGCCAGCTAGCTCTCTTTGCTCCGCGCAGCGGACGACCCGCGCGCGTCGCTGGGACCCCTCCGGGGCGACCTGCGCGCGTGGCGGGGACTCCGCGCTGCGCTGCGCCCGCAGCCTTGGACTTTTGAGTGCGCGGGCAAAGAGGGAGTAAAAGAAGGGGAAGAAACGGGCGCGATCCTCGCGGGGGGACGCGCCGACATTGGCGTCGTGGCGCGCGGGCGATGCTGTCGGGGAGTCCCGGGGAAGCCCCTTGCGGCGGACACGCCCAGCGTCACGAGTACTCACAGGCAGTCGTTATCAAACTATTGACATTCATATACAAGTACACCATGCTTTGTCATATTCGCATCCATGCACGTAGACTCGCTCGCACGCAGATTCATTCACAGTCAGACGCACTCGCGCTCAGATTCACCCGCGCTCAGTCTCCCTACGTACTCAGATCAATCGTTTTCGTTCGCGTTGTGTACCACGCCGCTCATTTCGGCACACCCCTAGCACGGTTCGTTGACTCATAGGGATCACCACCGAAAAAGGGAATCATAATTGCCAGTTGCGGCATTCACACCTGCATATGGTTGGGTCCTTCGTCCGGCTAATTTTATTGTTTTACCAAATGATGATGGGTGTGTGTGTGTGTGTGTGTGTGCCCGCATTGCATTGTTCCTGGTTGGCTCCCAGTCGCTTGGGGGAGGGGGTGTATACTAATGGGGAGCAGTTATAAACCCTTCTCCCGGGAGGGAAGAAGGGGGTGGAAGAGGAAACACCCTAAACCACCTACGCCCTAAAGGGCTGGTGGGATTCTCTGCGGGGCGTGGTGTTTGTAACACTGCACGTGGCCCTGTGGGGTGGAATCCGACTGGGGTGGGAAGGTTGTGGTATAAAAAAGATCTAGGTCGAGGAGCAGAGGAGGAAAAGGTACCGATACCTCCGAACCGGCTGGGGGTCTGAGGTGGCCCAGCACTGGCCCCAGCGGGGAGGAAGGGGGGGCGAGGTTCGAGGCGCTGGGGTCGGGGAAGTGCTTGACTTGTTTCCCGGAGGCGGGGGTTTATCCATAGCCGCTGCCCAGGGGATCTATTTTCGCGGGCCTCCACAGGCGATGGTTATTCGGGCTCCTGGGGGCCAGTCCTTATCCATATCCACCGCCCGCTGGGGCACCAAAGGGTCCGTTCCCAGGCGGTGGATATGGATAAATCCCCGCCTCACATTTTTCGGCCTCGGGCCCGCTTTCGGGCCCCGGGACCATCAACCTATCAGGTTAGATTTCCCTGCCGCCTCCAAGATACCGCCACCCTTGCCTCGTTTTCCCTTTTTGGGGCATCCCGCGCTGGATTCGCCCCGAAATTCGGATCAGAACGAACCCTTGGAGAGGTCTGGGGAGTACCTCGGGGGCGTTCGTCAAGGATTCCTTATCTAACCAGGGCGGCGGTGATATCCATGGACAATCCACGATAGGTGTTCCACCGGCTTCCAGACCTTGGATTCCTTACCCAATGGTTCCTTTCCCAATGCCCTTACTGTAGGCTGCAGCGCATTGGCTCACCAGGAGATGTGTTGTGAGCCGTGCCTTTAGCTCCCTGGTTTCTCTCTTCGAGCGGCGCCCCTCTGTGTCCAGTGCCGTCGTTATGCGCGTTGTGATTCCACAGTTGTGGCCTGGTCTCCGTTGCTCATCTTTTTTTCCGTGCATGCAGGCCCTCGGACGCGGAGAGAGAACCAAAACAATGAGCTCAATATAATAGTGGGAGGAGGAGCAGGAGGAGGAGGAGGAAGAAAAAGAGGTGGAGCAGGAGGAAGAGAGAGGAGAAGGAGAAGGAGAAGAAGGAGGAGGGAGGGAGGGAGGGAGGAGGAAGGGAGGAGGAGGAGGAGAAGAAGGAGGAGGGAGGGAGGGAGGGAGGGAGGGAGGGAGGGAGGGAGGGAGGAAGGGAGGAGGAGGAGGAGAAGGAGGAGGAGGTGGAGGAGGGGGAGGAGGAGAAGGAGCCCTACAAGAGCAGCAGCAGCGGTGTCGGCATCTCCTGGCTCCCCCGAGGACGAGCCCGAGCTGGACCCCGCCGGGCCGGTCCGGCGCTTCCGGCTGCGCTGCGAGGGCCGCTGGCGCGTCCGCGACGCCCCGACGCTCGGCTCTAGGGTGCAGGGGCCACTGTCCCGGGGGAGCGCAAGGGGGAGCGCCTCGAACCCCAGTATCGCCCATTGCTCGCCGATAGTCGGCGCCCAGAATGGAGCCATACCCTACATCGGCAACATGTTGCACCACTTTTGCTGTGCGTTGGCACCTGTACTGCCTTGCTCTTGGCCCCCCCCCCCCTTCCCCCCGATCTTAATATTGGGTGCATGGCGCAGAGCCCCTGTTCCGCCCGGGGACCTCCCGACAAAATGTTGCACCACCGAGCTGGTTCGACCAGCCCGGACCGGACCCAATATTAATATCGGGGGCGAGGGGGGAGAAACAAACGATTGATATAACAGCGATGCGATTTATTGTCAGCGCCAGGTGGTGCAACATTCTGTCGATGTACCGTATGCCCCTGCGGGCTCAGTCGCTGCTGGGGTATATCGGACACGCCCGCTGGTATGTTCACGTGGCGGTCGGCACCCTTCTGGTCCTGAGCCCCGCTGGCGTTCTTCAGAGATCTGGCCCGCGGGGATCGGTTCCGCGCGCGGTTCCCGGAACAAGGGGCCCGACAGCCCGCCCCGCCCAGGGCCTTGCGGTCTCGCTGTCGAGGGCCGATCTCGCCGATCTCGCAGCGATGTATCGCCGATCCCAGGCCAAGGGTCTCTGCCCCGAGCTCGTCCGTCCTTCTCGTCCTCGTTCAAAGAGCGCGCTCTTTGATGTAGGGTATGGTGAATTCGTGTGTTGTCCCCAAAGCTGTACGTGCACGGCACTTGCCCCCCGCCTCGCCGCCTTCTCGAGCCGCGCTGGGCCGACATGGAGTTCAAGCGATTCCGACTTGCGCGAAGTCCAGATTTCTGTTCGGGCCTCGCAGCGCCCCCCTTCCGTCCAAGTCAATTTGCCAAAGGCTAAAGAACAGTTGCCTCAAGCCGGCGGCGAGCCTTGGGGGGAGTGAGAGGGGCAGGCCTTCTCAGCAGGCGGCGGGGCTTCGCAGAGCTCTCCGGCCTTCTGCGAAGCCGCCTGTGTCCTCGGCGAGCGCTTCTGAGAGAGCCCGCCCCTTCGCACTCCCCCCGGAAGGCTCGACTACGCGTAAGAGTGACCCTTGGCCGGAGCGACCTTTGGTGCGGGCCCACTGGGGCCTCCCGATCGCCGAGCGCGCTGCGGTGGTGGCGTCTTGCGCGCTTGTGTCTGGTCCCCCCGCGGCCCCACCGGAAGCCGCGTACTCCAGATTTCGTAATAAAAGGGAGGGGTCTGGACCCTCCAAGACAAGCCATTTCAGACCCCCCCCCGTGGGAGAACCCTCCAAAACATCGTCCCCAGACCCCCCAGGCCCTCCAAGATAGCTTGGAAAAGACCCCCCCCGAAATGAGACCCCCCTCCCTTTACTACGAAATCTGGAGTACCCAGGGTCACTCTTGCGTGCAGTCGATGGGCTCGCCGCCGATCCCAGGTGCTGGGCACGATGGCCGACGGCACCGTCGTGGTCGGCAGTGCCGTGGCGGGCCCGGGCGAGGGCCCGGCGCCGCCCGAGGCCGGGGACGCGGCCGCCTTCGACGCGCTGTGGGTGCGGGCCCTGCGCTTCGAGACGCGGGAGCCCGCGGGCGTGTGCGGGCTCGGGCGGGACGCCCGGGGACACGAAAGCGCATGGGCTCTCCGATCGGCGGCGAGCTGCAGGGGGGAGGTGCAGAAGGGGCGGGCCCTCGCAGGAGGCTCGGCAGGCCTGGGGCCTCTCAGGAGTGCCCCAGAAGCCCTCTCCGTCGTGCCGTCGGCCGTCGTGCCCGGCACCTTTTTTGGTCGGCGGCGAGTCTTCCGGGGGGAGTGCGCAGGGGCGGGCCCTCTCAGGAGGATCGACAGGCTTCTGGCCTTCTGGGAAGTTTTCTGATGAAGCCCTCCGAAGACAGACGCGGCCTCGCAGAAGGCCGGAGGGCGTCTGAGAAGCTCCGCCGCCTTCCGAGAAGGCCTGGCCCCTCTCGCGTCTCGCTTCCCCTGGGCTTCTGCCAGATTCTGCACTCAGACAGCAAACGCGCCGCCGACCCAGGTCTCCCCTCTTGGGCGCGCCGCCGACATACCGGGGGTCCGAGAGCACGGTTCGTGCCTCTTCCGCAGGGCTTCCCCGATCTCGGCTTCCGGGGGAAGGGGGGGCCGTCCCCGGGCCAGCGCGGACACCTCGAAGACGCACGCCCCGAGCGGGAGCACTTGCCCCGGGGGTTCGGGAGTTCGGAGAGTCCACGGCCCATACCCAGCAGTAATCTTGGAGCAGACAACAAAAGCGTCGACTCTCGTGGGCTCCAGACTGCAAGATTCTGGGCCGGACCCTGTGCGGTGTTTCTCTTGGAGCTTCTTTTCTTCGCGGCAGGTTCGTATACGCGGATCTGGGTTACTGGTTCAGAAATCTCGTCCACTGAAGTCCATTTTCTTAACCTACCATTATCTTATCTTTGAGCAGGGGTGTACACAGTGTTTTGGCGATTTCGTGAGCCGTCTTCGTTTCTTTGTCGTCTTGCTGCAAAAAGGCTGGACCAAAGCAGAACGAGGGGCAACGGAAACAGCGCGACCACGGAAAGCACCGTTAAAGTCTGACCCTGGTGCTGGAGTCGTTATTGTGAAACAAAATCAGATGGGGCTTGGGTTTGGGCTAGAGAGCTTCGAAAGCCGACTGCAAGGATGCCTATCTCTCTGCTGTTCCCCCTTAGGACGCCGCCTGCGGGAGGGAGATGTACTGCCTGCGGCGGAACGCGCTGGGCATGGGGCTCTACGAGGTGGGCGCCGAGCCCCTGGACGGGCCGCTGGTGATGCTGCCGGAGCGCCTGTCGGTGCTGCTGCACGCGGACGCGCGAGAGGCTCGGAACAGGGGGCCCGCCGAGACGACGGCGGCTCGCCCGCCCGGTCCAACTCTGGCCAACGTTCGGCGACCGATTGTGGACCCTCCTCCTGCGGATCCACTCGGCGCTGGGGTCTCGGATTTCCCCGCTTTGTGACCTCTTGTCGTTGATCAGACTTCAGTCGGCTCGGGTCGCAGCGTCTGCTTCCTTCGCTGGGGTTCGCCTCGCCGCGGGCCTCCTTCGAATGCAGAACCCGGGCCGGCGATCCAGAAACCTGGCCTGCAGGGCCAGGCTGCACGCACGCGGTTGCCTCAAAATCGGTCCCCTGTCTCCTCCCCCAGGTCCATCCCGGTCCGTCCTTCGAGGCGGGCCCGGGGCGGAGGCCCCTGCAGGAGGCCCAAGAATAGGGCGAGAGAAACTTCACTGGCGGCCGAACCGACCCCCAGCACACCATCCCTTCCCATGACCCCCCGCCAAGACGTAATGTGTGCGGCCGGGGGGGGGAGTTTGAGAGGCGATGGGGGACGTCACGGAAGGGGATGGTCTGCCAGGGGTCGGTTATAGCCGCGCCCGGAAATCCCATGGAGATCCGCCGTTGCCCTGACTGGTCTTCCGAGGCGCGCGAGGGCCGCCTGTGACATTGGCCAGCTGGGCTGGGACATGTTTTGGGGATCACGCGCGGTTGCCCAAGGCTCCGCCCCCAGGCCCCTCCCCCAGGTTCCCTCCTCATCCGTCCTCCCAGGCGGGGCCGGCAGTGGCGACGAGAAGCCCCCAGGATGGGCCCAAGAGGAGGCGCGAGAGAGCAACGACGGGGAGAGCCGCCGCTGCCTCGCAGAGGGCCCTCGGAGAGGCGCGCGAGGGCAGGGCGGGGGACGTCTCGCTCACCTGGAGGCTGCTGGAGGCGGCCGAGCACGTGGGGCGGCTCTTCGACTGGACCTCGGGGGGCCCCGGCGGCAGCGCCGAGCAGGGCGGCGGCGGTTCGGGCGGCCGCGGGCCCGAGGAGGCCTTCGAGGCGGGGCTGCGCGCAGGGAAAGGGTTCTGTACCCAGACATGCTCGCGTCGCAAAAAATCAAGACGGGATGTTCGGGGCCACTTTCGGCCTCGGGGGGCTCTCGCCGGGCCTCGGGAGCGTCAAAAAACTACTCAGGATGAAAAACCGAGCCCGGGAAAGCGTCGGGACTTCCAGGGACCCCGTATTGAAAAAATCAGGATGTCGCATGTCTGGTTAGGCTTCCCAGACGGGGTCCGAGTACAGTGGAGGCCCATGCCAAGAAGCACCCTGCTTGCCTCCAGGGTGCCCTGGGTTTCTTGGGCTTCGGTGGTTCTGCTGTGGAAACCGCGACGTCCCCACAACAGATATCAACGGAGGTTCTGTGGGTCTCAGGATTTGGTGTCTTGTGGAAGGTTTCTTGTGGTCGGGCCCACACTGCAGATGGGGTCCAGAGATCGCGCCGCATCGCCGATGTATCGGCGATGCGGCTCGATGTGGAGCTCGATGTTGTCCACGCCGAGCTCGCCGATGCGTTGCCGATGCGTCGCCAGCGCCGTAGATACATCGCTGGTGCATCGCCGATACAGCTCCGATGCATCGGCAACGCGGCGTGATCCTCCGATCCCGTCTACTCCGACCCCATCTGGGAGGCCTTTGAGAGTCGCTGGCGATGTTTCTCCCCCCCAGTCCCCGAGCTTTCGACGAAAACGTAAGTTCTTCAGGAAAGGAGGGAAACCCGGGGATACGTCCCCAAGAGGGCGATCCGGACTTACCGCATATCGAGGATGGGCGCCCCCCTATCGTTATGTACCAGGGTTGGGCCTCAGAGTTCCTGGTCCATTCGAAAACCCCATCAAGCCTGGGATAAGGGTCGACACATTCCTTGTTAAAGAGTGACCCTTCGCTGGTCAAGCAGTGGCGAGGCGTCTCGGCTTGCCTCCAGTCCAACCAATCAACGGTATGGCAATTTGTTTTGTTGTTTGCGCGATCTGTTCTTGCATATACGTCTGGCTAAGACTGTCCTGATTTGATACATCGATTTTATGTTCTGGTTATTGGAGTTTTTGTTCGGAACATGTCGTGGCAGGCCAACAGTAATTCCTGGGCGTTCGGTCACTGCTCAGGCTGGAGGGACCTTTGGCATGGCGGGCTCACCGGGGATCCCCCCAGCCTGACATCCCCTCGTCGTGGACAAAAAACAGACGACGGGTGGTTCGTGGCAAGAGTCAGCATCTGGGGGGGCCCACCGGGCCAAGAAACGGTCAAACTACGATCCAGGAGGAGAAGCCGGTCCTGGTGAAGGGACCCAAGACCTTAGCGGAGCCACGCTGCGACAACGTGACGGCGTCGGGAATTCGGCCGCGCTCGGATCTGGGCTCCCCGCGCCCCCGTGTAAAAGGGCGCGCGCCAGAGGCCCTTCTTTAGGGGGCCACATGCGAACCCCACCCCTACCCCCCACGATTTCTGAGAGGGAGGGTGGGGTTCACTTCGCTCGGGAGCTCCCGCACGAAGTGAACCCCGCCCTCCCCCTCAGAAATCGTGGGGGGTAGGGGTAGGGTTCGCATGTTGCCCCCTACCCTCTTGCCCATGCGGCCACTCTGCGCCGGGTGCTGCCCGAAGTGCAGTGGAGGCCCATGCCAAGAAGCACCCTGCTTGCCTCCAGGGTGCCCTGGGTTTCCTGGACTTCGTTGGTTCTGTTGGTGGAGGCGCGACGTTCCCACACCCAAAATCAACGGACGTCCTGAGGTCTCAGGGTTGGGTTTCTTGTGGAAGGTTTCTTGTGGGCTGGCCTCCACTGTAGCCCTGGCCCAAGGTGGCCCTGGCCTTCCCGGGCAGGCGTAGATGGCCTCCACAGCGCCCCTCACCAGGCGCAGAGGTCCGCAGGAGCTCCAAGATTGCACGGAGAAGTGGACGCTTTCGGACAAGGACACCTCTGGCAGCCAAGGGCCTCGTGCCCACAGGGCCCATGTCACCCGCGATGGTGCGACGATGATGGCGCGTTGCGCGTCGCGGTCTGGGCCAGAGCGTTTGCCCTTCTCCAGGGGGCTTCTCGACCCACCAAACCACCCCAATCCAACCCGCAGGCCCCAATCTGCCCTTCATTTCCCAGTGGGTGGGGCCCGGGGAGCATGGAAGAAGCGCAGCTGAGGCCCCATATACCAGAGATTCGGTCTCTTTACAACCAGAACAACCACTTTACAACCAGATGGGTTACTTTACAACCAACATAGGATTGGAAAGTATGGTTTTCCATCGAGAACGTCCACTTTGCAACCAGAACGGCCCACTTTACAACCAGAACGGACCACTTTACAACCAGCATGGGCCACTTTACAACCAGAACGGACCACTTTACAACCAGCTCAGAGTGGCCGTGCGTGTTTGGGCGTTCCGCACAGCGCTCCAGAGCAAGTGGGCGCGCTGAAACATGCTCCAGAGCAAGTGGGCGCCCCGAAAAATGTTCCAGAGCAAGTGGGCGCTCTCAAAAGTGCCCCAGGGCGCGCGGGCGCTCTGAAAAATGCTCCAGAGCACGTGGGCGCTCTGGAGCCCGAGCGCCTGAACGCTCTGCACAGGCCCCAGCGACGCCTCTGGGCCCGAGCGCCTGAACGCCCTGAGCAGGCCCCAGCGACGCCTCTGGGCTGGGGCTCGACGGCTTCGGTTTCGGCAAGGTCGGTTTCCATTCCCGCTGGGCGCGTTCTCCTTTGACGCGCCTTACTTCCATGTCTACCTACTGGGGCGTGTCCACCTCCGCGGTCACCGCCATGTTCAAGACAGTGGTCGGGGTCTTCACCAACGGCCTCGTATTGAACCCGTTCGACTGCAGTTTCCACTGCAACCCTGCTACCACCACACTTACCGCTGCAGCCCCGCTACCTCCACAATTCTGACTGACCCCCCCGCTACCATTACAGATCCCATTGCAGCCCAGCTACCACCGCAGTTCCCACCGCTGCCTGGCGACCGCCACAGTTGCCACCGCAGTTTCCCAACACCATGCAGTTCCCATTGTAGCCCCCGCTACCACCACATCTCCCACTACAGCTTCCCAGTGCCATGCAGCTCCAGTCTTGGACAGCATCGTGGTTTATTCGCATGTCCTGCGCGAGTAGCCTTCGCCCGGCAGGGAAAAAAAAACAGAGCAAGCACTGGCAGAACTGACCGAAAGAGCTTAGAGAGCAGGTCAAAACCATAATCCGCCCACCAGCACGCAACATACCATAGCGCACCAGGTCGTCGCATCACCAACGCGTGCGCAGTGCGCGATGGGCAACTTTACAACCAATATGCCTCAAAGAGCCCAAAGCCACCCTTGCGCTTGCCCACGGAGATTTCAGGGAAAGGCCCGCGTGCGTTTAATATGTGTTTCCACTTGCCTGGTTGTAAAGTGCCCTTCCTGGTTGTAAAGTGCCCTTCTCGGATTTTGCAAGCTGGTTGCAAAGTGACCCATCTGGTTGTAAAGTGCGCTTCTGGTTGTAAAGTGACCCACGCGCCCATATACCCCCCCGCAGCCCTGAACTCGGGCCTTCGGGCTGGGCTGGGGTGGCCTGGCAGGTTGTCAGGGAGCGGTCTGGCGATCGAGAGGCCGCCGATCGGTGAGGGTCGGTTGTCAGGAGCGATCTGGCGATCGAGAGGCCGCCGACCGGTGAGGGTGGAGCGATCCGCGGGCGGCGCCAGAGGCCACTTTGGCGCAGATCGGCGCGGCACGGGCCTGCCGCAGAGCTTCGCCCGCGCCGCCACCGACCCGGGGAGCCGAGTTCGCGGCAGAGCGGCAGCGGTTTTCGACCAAAAAAAAAAGATACCCCCAAAACAGTTCAAACATGATACCAAGATAGTTTGGGGACTATTTTTGGGGTAGTCTTTGGCCTTTTTGGAGCATGTTTGGGGTATTCTTATTCTTCGTCGAAAACATCGAGAGGACATGCTTTTACGTCTTTCGCGCGGCAGAGGCGAGACCCTCACGCGCGTCGGGCCGCGAGACGGGGAAACACCGCGCCGCGCACGATCCCGCGGGCAAGAGGGAGGGGGGCGGAAGGCGAGGGGGTGGCCGCGGAGGGAGGGGAGCCGGGCGCGGGGGCACTCTCACGCAGAGGGGCTGCGGCGAGCGTGCGGGAGGCGGCATCGAGAGGAGAGCACGATTCTGCAGCGCTCGTGACCCCGAGATCCGGGGGGGTCTCAGGTTTTTTGTCGAACCGGGGGCGCTCCCGTTCAGTTTCGGGCTGCGGGGCCCTCGCAGATCGATCCAGCTCGAGGAGCGGCGCAGAAAAAGAGGCGGCCTATGGCTCCGGTCGTGTTTTTTCGCGGTGTTCCAATGTTTTTTCGAGGCGTCGGATCTCAGGGGGCCCCGTCTTCCTGCGGCATCTGTCTCGAGCGGGGCCGATATATCCGTGAGGGCCCAGGGCCCCGGGACCTGGCGAAGAAAACGCCCGCTGTGAAGACCGATGCTCAGAGCCCCGAATCATCAGGGGTAACTCGGGTCAGGGATAACTCGGGTTCGTTTTTTCGGGGATCCAAACCCGAGTTACCCCGGACCCGAGTTACCCCGGATAGCTCGGGCGTCCAGAGCCCCGAATCATCAGGGGTAACTCGGGTCAGGGATAACTCGGGTTCGTGTTTCGGGAATCCAAACCCGACTTACCCCGGACCCGAGTTGCCCCGGATAACTCGGGCGCCCAAGATGCCGGGGTCGACCCGGCACGAACCTGCGGTGGGGGCGTTCGTTGAGGAATGTTCTGGTTGACCCAGAAGGGTGTCCAGCGAAGAGAGGGTGGTGCAATGGATGTGTTGGGTTGCAGGTGATCTGGGGCGTGCAGCGCACTTCTGCGCGCGAGTGCATGGCATGCAGTGCATTAGTGGCAGCACAGTGCAATACACTGCTCTGGCGCAATGCATGTGTAATGCAATTGCCCCACATCTATTGCACCATCCTCTTTCAGCTGGACTTCCTTATGTTGGCTCAATCAGAATTGTGGCCAGGAGGCTTCAGACCCTGGGAGGAGGGTCCATGTCTGGCGAGGACGGCGGTGACATACACGATGTTGCATCGGCTTTTCCAGACCCCAAGTTCCTTCGCCAATGGTCCCTTCATTGAGATCCAGCCTTGCCGCAATCATTACAGCATCGTGAAGCATCACGACTGGAGCCTAAGACATCATTTTTGTTGCGCTATTTTTGGGGCCGCATCGGCTTGTGAGATGCCGGGGCCCCGAATCTGGGCGAACACGCTCATAGTGCTAACATCGCAACGCCATGATCTCAGGGTTGTCCAGGGCCCTCGCCGTAGCCTGGCTCTCGGTCTCGCGACCCATGCCCTCTACCTTCCTGTGGCAGCGTGGTCATCGGAGGGTCTTGTGTCCTCTCTCGACGGCGAGCCTGGGGGGAAGTGAGTGAGAAGGGGCGGACTTTCTCAGAAGGCTCGTAGGCCCCCTGGTCTTCTGAGCAGTTTTCTGAGCCTTGCCCGGAAATTCAGAAAAGCCCTCAGAAGGCCGGCGGCCTTATGAGAAGCCCCGCCGCCTTTTGAGAGGGCCTTGTCTCTCTCACTTCCCATCCTGGGCGCGCCGCCGACTTCAGTTTTCGAGCCAACTCGGGTCTCCAGCGACCGTTCGGGACAGTCTGGGCACCCCCGGGAACGCCCTCGGCGAGGCACCCCCGCTGGAACGCATCCCGAGGCTGGAGCACCGCCAAGGACCGACGGAAGCGCCCGAGAGCCGCGCACCCGAAACTTCCCCCCTCGCTCGCCGCCGACCCTCGCCTGTCCTCTCCAATCGAACTCGACTGTTCAGGAGGGAAAGAAACACACAGACAGAAGTGATCGTCGACTCCCAGAAAACATGGGGAAATAGGGGAAGTGGGGGGGAAGACGAAAACCCCAACAAGATGGGAAAATGTGGGGAATATTTACCTAACAGCGTAGACTGATAGGTTTCTAGTAGGATCAAAAGAGGGCAGCAGCTTACTCCACAGGAGGGTCTGGGCGGATGTCGGCGAGCTGCCGGGCGGACGCCGGGCGGACGAACCGGGCTCGTTTTTCACCAACAGTCACACACTTCGTGCTCTTCGACCTCCCAGAACTCCATTCCCGGGCCACATTTTGAATAACCGGACGCAATAGTCATACACTTCGTGCTCTTCGAGTTCCCAGAACACCATTCCCGGGCCACATTTTGAATGCCCGGAGCCAACTGTAGGCCACTTCGTGTTCTTCGATTTCCCAGAACGCCACTCCCGGGCCACATTCTGAATGCCCAGAGCCAACTGTAGGCCACTTCGTGCTCTTCGATATCCCAGAACACCATTCCCGGGCCACATTCTGAATGCCCGGAGCCAACTGTAGGCCACTTCGTGCTCTTCGACTGCCCCGAACGCCATCGCCGAATGCCACTCCTGCCACTCCTGGCGCACATTTTGGATGCCCGGAGCCAACTGCACGCCACTTCCTGCTCTTCCACCTCCCAGAATTCCATTCCCGGGACGCATTGTGGGGAACACGCCATTGTAGTCGTAGTAGTACTCGTACGCCTCTCCTCCTCCTTCTACTCGCTCCTCCTTTTTCTTCTCTCATCGACGTCAGAACCCTTGCCTCCTATGACGTCCTCCGCTGGCCTGGGTGGTCTACTCAGGTCGCGGAGGGGGATAGGAGGGGGGTCGTTGCCATGGGTGGTTCCCTCGAATTGACGACGGGGAGGGGGGGTGCACCGTTCCCTCGGATGGGCACATCCCCCCCTCCAAGGGTCTCCGAGCCCTCCCTCTCCGTCCTTTTCCTTCTCCCTTCTATTCGTAGAGTACTAGTAATAGTAGTTGCCAAGTTTGTAAGTGGCAGCCGTGCTATATCGCTGAGAGGTGCCCCGTGCGTGGCCGTGGGGGCGAGGCCCCAGCGGCCCAGCGCGAACCAGAAAGCTTTCGATTCCAAACCGCCCCCGTTGAGGGCTGTGCGTTTGGCGCGCAACTGGGTTCCCCTGCGTGGGTTTCGGACACGGCGTCCAGCAGCATTGTCCCATTTTTATTTAACAGCGAAGATTGATAGTAGGCTCAAAAGAGAGCATCATGACTCCTCACGGGGGTCGGGGCGGGACCCGGGGCGGCTGCCGTCGAAGCCCAAATCGCGTAGGACATCCTCGCAAAATCGCTCTTGGCGCTGCTAGAACTCCATTCCCAGGGTACATTTTGGATGCCCGGAACAAACTGTAAGCCACTTCGTGGTCTTCGAGTTCCCAGAACTCCATTCCCGGCGTACATTTTGGATGCCCGGAGCCAACTGTAGGCCAGGACATTCACTTGTAGGCCAAGTTCCCTCTTCGCCCTAGAACTCCATTCCCATTTTGGGTACATTTTGGATGCCCGGAACAAACTGTAAGCCACTTCGTGGTCTTCGAGTTCCCAGAACTCCATTCCCGGCGTACATTTTTGCCCGGAGCCAACTGTAGGCCACTTCGTGGTTTTCGAGTTCCCAGAATTTTATTCCCGGGCCACATTTTGGATGCCCGGAGCCAACTGTAGGCCACTTCGTGGTCTTCGAGTTTCCAGAACTGGAATGCCCGGAGCCAACTGTAGGCCACTTCGTGCTCTTCGATTTCCCAGAACGCCACTCCCGGGCCACATTCTGAATGCCCAGAGCCAACTGTAGGCCACTTCGTGCTCTTCGATATCCCAGAACACCATTCCCGGGCCACATTTTGGATGTCCGGAGCCAACTGTAGGCCACTTCGTGGTCTTCGAGCTCCCAGAACTCCGTTCCTGGGTATGATTTTGAATGCCCGGTGCCAACTGTAGGCCACTTCGTGGTGTTCGAGCTCCACAATTTTATTCCTGAGGCAGGCTGAGGCTGAGGCTGAAGCAGGCTGAGGCTGAGGCTGAGGCAGGCTGAGGCTGAGGCAGGCTGAGGCTGAGGCTGAGGCTGAGGCAGGCTGAGGCTGAGGCAGGCTGAGGCTGAGGCGTAGGCTGAGGCAAGGTGAGGCTGAGGCAGGCTGAGGCTGAGGCCGAGGCTGAAGGCAGACTGAGGCTGAGGCTGAAGCAGGCTGAGGCTGAGGCTGAGGCAGGCTGAGGCTGAGGCTGAGGCAGGCTGATGCTGAGGCAGGCTGAGGCTGAGGCTGAGGCTGATGCTGAGGCTGAGGCAGGCTGAGGCTGAGGCCGAGGCTGAGGCTGAGAGGCTGAAGGCTGAGGCTGAAGGCAGGCTGAGGCTGAAGCAGGCTGAGGCTGAGGCTGTGACTGCGACTGCCGTTGCCACTGCGACTTTCATCGCGAATGCGACTGCGACTGCGAGAACAGCAGAATTCTACAACTGGATTCTCATGTGAATCTGAAGGGAAATGCTTCCAGATATGCTCCTACACATCGCTGTTAGGTTGCTTTGCCGGGATAATTTCTATGTAATCGCTTCGCTCATGCCGCCGGCCCTCGAGCGCTCTATGGGGCCTCATTGAAGCCTCTTGGGGGCCTCTTTGGGGCCTCCTGGGGGCCTCTTGGGGGCCTCTTGGGGGTCTCTTGGGGCTCCTTGCCGGCGTCTTGGGGCCCTCTTGGGGGGCTCTTGGGGCGGGGTAGTAGAGTGCACCCCCCTCGGGAGATATTTTTACCTGTGTGCAGGGCCCCTTCCACTGTGCCCCAGTGCCCTCGCCGCGCAGCCCGCCGAGGCGCGGCAGCGGGAGCTCCTGCGCCGGGCCGCGGAGGCCCTGCGGCGCTGCACGGACCGAGTCCTCGCCGCCGCCGGGAGCGGCGCCCGCCCGGGCGCCGACCTCACGGCCGGGCTCCCGGCGGAGGCCCGGGGCCCGGGGTCCTCCTCCTCCTCCTCCTCCTCCTCCTCCTCCTCCTCCTCTTCCCTCCTGTCCTCCGCCTCCTCCTCCCCTCCTCCTCCTCCTCCTCCTCCTCCTCCTCCTCCTCCTCCTCCTCCTCCTCCTCCTCCATTACATTTCTTTACAAGTAACTTCTCCCCGTCGCACCCCGAGGCCAGTTGTTTCAGCGGGCCGGGCTGGGCGCGTCGCCTGAGACTTCCTCACCACTTACGACCCTGAAGCTTGAAAGTTGGCAACAACTTCACAGACGGAGGGCGGGTCGTTTTCAAAATGCGGCTCTCGCTGTAGCGCCGCGCGCACTCGAGCCGTTCATTCGTTGTACAAATTTGCAAGAGCTTCAGACATTGACGTCGACTAGTTTTCAAACGTGGTCCTCGCCTTAGTGCCGTGCGCATTCGTTTCAAGAAGTTGCAAGAGTTTACGGGTTTAGGTCGGCTCTTTTTCAAAATGTGGTTCTCGCCACAGCGCCGCACATATTCGTTTCTAACAGTTCAAGAGCTTCACGGATTCCCATGATCAGCCTACCAGAAATAGAGTGTTGGAAGGATTCAGGATTATGCGGGTGCAACAGTTACGATGGTTCGCGGTGCTTGGTTTAAGTCCCAGGAGTGGCGTTCTGGCACGATTCAGGATCGCCCAAACGCAACAGTCAGGTTGATCCGTGGCGCTGGACTCCCGAAAACAACGTGCTGATATGCTCTAGGGTCTTCTAACGGTTGTCTTCCAACGAGGCAGTTCCCTCAGTGGAAATGACCCGTTGTATGGGCCTATGAAGAGGGATATTGGAGTGAGAACTTGTTCGACCATCGTTGCTGATTCTTGAGTTTGCAGTGGTCCTCCTCCTCCTCATCCTCCTGTCCTTCCTATCCTCCTCCTCCTCCTCCTTGTCCATCTTGTCCTTCCTATCCTCCTCCTCCTCCTCCTCTTCCTCCTCCTCCTCCTCCTCCTCCTCCTCCTCCTCCTCCTCTTTGTCCTTCCTACCCTGCTCCTCCTCCTCCTCCTCCTCCTCCTCCTCCTCCTCCTCCTCCTCCTCCTCCTTCTCATCCTCCTTCTCCTTCTCCTTCTCCTCCTCCTCCTCCTCCTCCTCCTCATCCCCAGCCTGGATCTGCCCAGACCGCCCGCCCGGGCGCCGACCTCACGGCTGGGCTCCCGGCGGAAGCCCAGAGCCTCGTCCTCCTCTTGGGCCTAGTCGCTTTGGGCGTTGTCGCCTAGTTTCGGGCCCTGGGAGCCTCGCCTTCCTCTTGGGCCTGGTCGCTGTTGGCGTTTTCGCGCAGTTTCGGGCCCTGGGACCCTCACAGATCGATCCGGGTCGAAAAATGACGCAGACAGACGGGGTTCGGGGCTTTGGTCGCGATTTGTTCACCATTCTTTAATTTTCTTCGATACGTCAAATCTCAGGGTTGAGCGGTGAAGCTGTAGCGTTCTTGGGCCTCGTCGTCGTCGTCGTCCTCCTCCTCCTTTTCCTCCTCCTCCTCCTCTTCCTCCTCCTCCTCCTTATCCTTGCTATCCTCGTCCTGCTCCTCCCCAGCCTGGATCTGCCCATCCAGTCCCTGTTGTGCCTCGCGCCCTATGCGGCGGTAGCGGTGCGCCGCTGAGGCCAGGGTTTCTTTCGGCCTGTGGATCCAGCGTTGAGGCTGCATCATGTATACAACTACAGTATATATCCTAGAACAAAAAATATTCACTGCGTGATGCTCCCCATATGTGCATCTACTCGCATGGACCTGTCCGCCGTGAATGTCTAGGCGCAAGAGCTTTCGAATATTAACGGGCTTCAGTTGTGACGGTCTGGACATCAATCTAACTGCGAATGAATTGGAGTGTGAATGAGCCTCAGTAGTACGAGCGCGTCTCTGTGCATGAGCCTGGGGCCTCCTGGGGCCTCCTGAAACCTACTGGGGCTTCCTGGGGTCTCCAGGAGCCTCTTGGGACCTCCTGGGACCTCCTAGGAAGGTTTCGTGCCCCAGGGGAGGCGCAATCTATAGCAACAGACGTACATAAAACATTGCGGATTAGAGCCACAGGAGAAGGGCAATCTATAGGAACACGCGTAAAACACCAAGGACTCGTGCCCCAGGAGAGGCCCAATACATAGGAACATGAGTAAAACATTTAGGATTGTGTACACAGGAGAAGGACCATCTATAGAAACATACGTAGAACATCAAAGAATCGTGCTCCAGGTGAGGCCCAATCGATAGGAGCATACGTAAAACACATGGGATTGGAGCCACTCCTGTTGCCTTCTGAGGCCTCCTGCTCCTGGGGCCTCTCGGGGCCTCCTGTTGCCTTCCGAGGCCTCCTGGCGCTTCCTGTTGCCTCCTGGGGCCTCCTGTGGTTTCCTGAGGCCTTCTGGAGCTTCCTGGGGCCTCCTGGAGCCTCTTGGGACATCCTGTGGCCTCTTGAGTCTTTCTGTGGCCTCCTGATGCCTCCTGGGACCTCATGTGGTCTCCTGGAGCCTCCTGGAGCCTGTTGGAGCCTCCTGTGGCATCCTGAGAAGAATCTGCGCCCACGAGCCTGGCCACCAAAACTAGCAAACCGATCGAGACATCCTCAAAATCTGGCCCACCTGGGGGGTGAAAATGAGCGCCTCGCTCGAGACATCCTCCAAATCTGCTCCGAAAGCGAAGGATGTTGGGCACAGAAACAGGCAAACCGCCTGAGACATCCCCACAAAATGGCCGCGAACGAGCCCGTGCAACCACCCCTGGCGGCTCCCCTTAGGGGTGCTGAAATGAGCGCCTCGCTCGAGACATCCTCCAAATCTGCTCCGAAAGCGAAGGATGTTGGGCACAGAAACAGGCAAACCGCCTGAGACATCCCCACAAAATGGCCGCGAACGAGCCCGTGCAACCACCCCTGGCGGCTCCCCTTAGGGGTGCTGAAATGAGCGCCTCGCTCGAGACATCCTCCAAATCTGCTCCGAAAGCGAAGGATGTTGGGCACAGAAACAGGCAAACCGCCTGAGACATCCCCACAAAATGGCCGCGAACGAGCCCGTGCAACCACCCCTGGCGGCTCCCCTTAGGGGTGCTGAGTATGAGTAAGTCTGTGTATGAGTAAGTCTGTGTATGTGTACGTCTGGGTATGACTAATACTGTGTATGAGTAAGTCTGTGTATGAGTAAGTCTGTATATGAGTATGTCTGAGTGTGAGTAAGTCTGAGTATGAGTAGGTCTGAGTATGAGTAAGTCTGAGTATGAGTAAGTCTGTGTATGAGCAAGTCTGAGTATGTCCGACAGGAGGGGAGGAGAAACGAGGAGGAGGAAGGAGGAGGAGTAGGAGGCGTCCAAGTAATAACAAGAACCCCATCTTAGGATATGGGGAACAACATTCGGCCCATCCTGCCACCGTGCGTGGGTTGTGGGCCAGAGTTCTCCGGGGTCTTCTTCGAGTATCTTCGGGGCTCTCTCGGAGGCCTCTTGGGAGCAATTTGTTGGCCTCTAGGGAGCCTCTTGGGGCCCTTTGGGGGCCTCTTGGGGGCCTCTTGGGGCCACTTGAGGCCTATTTGGGGCCTCCTGGTGGCCTCTTGGGGCCTCCTGGAGGTCCCTCAGGGCCGAGGGCTCGAAATATCCGTTCGGGTTCCCCATCTGGGCCCCCTCTTGGGGCCGCCGTTGGGCCATCATGGGCCGTCTTGGGCGCCTCTTGGGTCGTCATGGGGCCCTCTTGGGCCGTCTTCGATCTTGGAGGCCTCGTTGGCCGTCTTGGAGCGTCGGGACACCGAAAGGCGCGAACACTGGAACCTTTTCAACAAACAACGGACAAAACATAATTTCTGCTTCTTGGGGCCCTCGTGAGAGGCGTTTTGGAGGCCTCTGGGGGTGTCTTGGAGGCCTCTTGGATCGTCTTGGGGCCTTCTTGGGCAGCTTGGGCGGCTCTCCGGCCGTCTCGGAGGTTTCTTGGGCCCTCCTGGTGCCTTCTTGAAGCCCCCTGCGTCTATTTTTGGGCCGTGTTGGGTGGGGCCACCGTCGCAAAGGCCCACGCGACACACCCCAGTAACGCCCAGGAGGGTCTGGCGGCGCTTGTGAAACCGGGAGTCTGGGCCCTTACAGAACTTCTGAACTCAGGAGGGGTAAAAACACACAGACACAATTAATCGTCGATTCCCCAGAAAATATGGGAAAATATGGGATTTGGGCGGGAAGACAAAAACCCAGAAAATATGGGAAAATATAGGGCATATTTTTATTTGTGTGTATTTATTTGTGTGTCCCAGGGCCCCTTCATGAACCCCGGAACCTTTTTGTCAGGGCGCCACGAGCCTCGGGGCAGTCCACGACGTGCTGAAGGCAAGGTGGCGTGTGTGTGCATAACTATATGTCTGTCCGTCTGTCTGCCTGTCCGTGTGTGTGTGTGTGTGTTGTATGTCTGTATGTATAGGCGTATGTCTGTGCATATATACTCCAGATTTCGTAATAAAAGGGAGGGGGTCTCATTTCGGGGGGGGGTCTCTTCCAGGCTATCTTGGAGGGCCTGGGGGGGTCTGGGGACGATGTTTTGGAGGGTTCTCCCACGGGGGGAGGTCTGAAATGGCTTGCCTTGGAGGGTCCAGGCCCCCTCCCTTTTATGACGATATCTGGAGCACACAAACTTACAGCATAGCATGTCTCATGCATCATATCCCCCATACCATGTCACGGGGCACCGGGCACCGGGCCCCGGGGACAACACACCTGTGGAACACTCCTCCCCCCCCCTTCCCTTGGATGCTCCTGTGCGTGTTGGCCGGCGCAGGGTCTCATGCTCGAAGGATTGCAAAAAACGAAGGATTGCAAAAAAACGAAGGATTGCAAACAAAAAGCATTTTTTCGAAGGATTGCAAAAAAAACCCTTGTTTTTTTTGCAAACCTGTTTTTTTTTGCAATCCTTCGTTCGAAGGGTGCGAATCGGTCCGAGGTCCCACCGCAAGGTGCACATATTGTGGGCCCCTTCCAGGTCCGGGGCCGCTTCGCGCGGCTGCGCGCGTCGCTCCTCGCCGCGGAGAGGTGGGCCCCCGAGCAGAGGAGGAGGAGGTGCCGATGCCGCTGCGCTCCCCTCGTGCTCCATTGTATGGGCCTCCTTGGGGGACCTCGTCGCCACGGCTGGGCTTGCTGCATGCGACCGGAATGCGTTCAGGGAGTAGCGGCGTCGGCATGTCCTTATCCTCCCAGATCGCTCGAGAGGGTCGGAAGCGTTGAATCTCGGAGGCCGCGCCTCCATTTATTTGGAGGGGCAAGCGAGCCTCCAGGGTAGCCTCCTGACCGAGGGTCGGGCCTCCTTTTTTCAAGGTTTCTGATCCTTTGCGGGGCCTGCACGTGAGAGAGACCCGTCGCGGGAGTGACCTTCGGTGTAAGCCCAATCAATGGTGGGGCCCCCGTTCGCTGAATGCGATCCGATGAGCAGCGGCTCACGCGCCTGGGGTCCCCCCCCCTCCCTTTGCCCAAGCCCCAGACATCCTCGTGCTTCAATCCGCGGCCCCAGGGCTCCCGCTTCCCCCTCCCTGGGGATATTCTTTGTCCCGGGTTCGTTTTCTGGTGGCCGACGGGGCCCGGAAGCAGGGCCCGAGATCGACATCGAGGAAGCAGGCCTATGGACTGAACAGGCTACCGCCAAGTCGGGGGCATGTCCTGCAGGGGGGGGATATTCAAAAATCCCAAGAAATAGTCAGGGGACGATTTGTTATTTATGTTTGAGCATTTTTGGGGTTTTTGTTCGCTCGTCCCAAATCCGTGTGTCGGAGAGCATGCCCGACCTAAGGTTACCGCGTCGGCGATTTGGGCCTCAGGCCGCGCACCAGAGGCCACCCCGATCGATCCGAGTCGGTACCGCTTTCGGCCAGGCCGATCCGATTCGACGTCGATTTTCTTCTGATCCGATGCTGTCCGATGCCTGCATGGCTCTGTTGTGCGTCCTGGCGCGGCCGATCCGATTCCGCTTCGACTCCGTGCCGATGCGGCCCGATTTGGCGCGCTCTCCGAGCAGATCCGAGCTCCCGGCTCGATGCGTACTGATCCTGCCTTTGCCGAGAGGGCCGCTCTCGGGCGGGGCTATAGGACGAGGAGAAATCCGTTCCAGAGCGTTCCAGGACGCTCCCAGGGCGTTCCGGAACTCTCTCAGAAGGCCGCGGCGCCTGAGACATCCTCCAGAGCCGTCGGATCTCAGAGATTCCCGATTCCTCCTCACCCGAGCCAAGACATGAGACGTCCTGATTTTTTCGATATGGGGTCCCTGGAAGTCCCAACCCTTTCCCAGGAACCGGCTTTTCATCCTGACTCGTCTTTTGACGGTCCCGAGGCCCGGCGAGAGCTCCCCGAGGCCGAGGTTGGCCCAAAAGTTTCCCGTCCTGATCTTTCACGACGCGACCACGTCTGGGAGTTTATCCTCGTCCCGGCTTCGTCTCGCTTGCGTGCAGCTGCAAGCAGGGCAGCGCCCGTGGTGACGAGCCACCCGGCCCGGCGCAGGGACCGCGCGCGGCCGCCCTCCGAGGAGCCGCGCCCCGAGGAGGGCGCCCCGGGCGAGGCCGAGGCCGCCAGCGGCTGCGCCGCGGAGCTGCGGGGCTTCTGCCGGCGGTGCGCGCGCATCGAGCGCTCGGGGGGCTGGCCGGAGCTGCTCGCCGAGGTGCGGCTGGAGGCCATCGCCTTCAGCCAGAGGCGCGCGGGGGCGGAAGAGAGAGAGAGAGAGAGAGAGAGAGAGAGAGAGAGACCCAGACGCCCACGGGGCACGGACCCGAGGAGATGGCCGGGAGGTTTGGGCACACGTTCGGTCCTTCGGGGCCCTTTGCCCGCCCGCGGGGCCGTCAAAAAACGACCCGGGATGAAAAACGGGTTCCAGGGAGTGGGTGCAGACCGCTGTGGGTCCACGTCATGAAACATGATGACGCTAGGGATCTGGACGCTTATCCAATGGTCTTTATAATCCAGTACCCTCACCAATACGGTCATCCCCTCCCCCCCGGGTGACGGTAACGATCGTACGCAGAGGGGGGTGCTGGACCTTCCCACAAGCTGGTGCTCGCGCACTCACTATGGCGATCGCAGCGCACCCCAACCCCGACGTGCCCCCCCGCCCAAAAGCATGATCGTTGTTACCCAGGGCCCCCACCCCCCAGGGTAACGACCGTTGTTGGAAATAATGACGAATCACCGGCATCGCTGCTCGTCCTGGAGAGCCCTCTTCGCCACGGCTGGATTCGCCTCGAAGTTCTGGTCATAACGTGCATCGACCCCCAGACGCCGTCGAATCCGCGACCGCCCAGGACCGTGCGGTCTCGCTGTCGAGGGCTCCGGAATTGCCGATCTGTCGGAGACGTGCCGCCGATTCCAGCTCAAGGTTTCCCCGCTAAGCCAGGCCCACCTTGCCGCGCCCCCTCAAGAGAGGCACGCCTCCGACCTCGAGGCCTACGCCAGGGACCTGGGCAGAGCGCAGCCCTGCGGCGGCGCTGCCGCGGCAGCGCCCGCGGCCGCAGCGCCTGCCCGGCAGGGCACGCCGCCCTCGGCAGCTGGGCTCCGCGGCGAAGCGGACCTGCTCGCGCTCGGCGGCCCCGCGGCGGGCGCCGCGGCCGCAGCGCCTGGCCCGCAGGGCACGCCGCCCTCGGCTGCCGGGAGTCCAGACCCCCGACGTCATGATCCGTTGGTCGCGTGAGCCCCCAGAGGCCACGGCTCATTCCTCGGGACGGCTCTTCACCCCGAGTCGTGCTCGGACGGTCCCGAGGCCCGGCGAGTGCCCCCAGAGGCCGAAGGTGGCCACGAGCACTCCGTCGTGTCCTTGCTCGTGCCTCGAGGGGGTCTGGGCTCGGCCGCCGGGGGCCGCGGCGAGGCGGACCTGCGCGCGCTGGGCGGCGGCCCCGCGGCGGGCGCCACGGCCTGCGGAGGGGGCGGCCCGCCGCCCGCGCGGGCGCCGCCGCTGCTGCCGCCACCGCCGCGGCCCACGACCGGGCTGCTGCCGGCCGTGAGCGCCCTCCAGCGCGCAGGGGAGGGCGAGGCGCGGTGACGCCGGCGATCGGCGGCCTCTGCGCGGGAGGCACCGCTGCTGGTGGGCGCCGACGCTCGAAGAGGAAGGCCAGGACTGCAACGTGAACGTTCGGAGCTCCGCGCGGATCTCTCGGATCTGCGTCGGGGCCTCCCTGGCGGCGCCTCGGGCGGACTTCTTGGTGGAGACGCCACGCTCGTGCCGGCGATCGGCGGCAACTGCTTTGCTTGCACCAGTGCTCGCTCCCGGAGAGGCAATGCCCTCGCGCTCGGAGGTCCAGGAGTCAGGGCAGGGGCGTTGCGATCCAGAGCCGTGCTCGAGATCGCGCTGGTGCGTTCGGCAAGTACGGGTCAGAGTGAGTGTCGCGCTGCTGTGTTACACGGAGCACCGAAGGTGGGAATGAGATTGGCAATTCTGATTCGAGGATTCTGGCACAATGGAGGAACGATACGGCCTGATTTGCGTAAGTTCTGCAGGTATAGTGATCGAGCTGTCTGATGGTGGTGACCTGGATTTGATGGAACTGGAAGGAGTGCTGCGACGACGAGAAAGATCGAACATTTAAGCAGTCGTTGCCCTGGCGACGCCAGCTCTTCTCGGTGCTCACGCTGCTGTTGCGCGCCAATATGAAGCACGCTATCTATCAAATGCTCCACGAGGCTGAAGTAGACCCTTCTGCGAATCGCACCTGGCAGCACTTAGTGTATATTGATTCTCCGCGTGTCCCCACCAGACCATCCGGAAACGATTCTCGGGCTGCGTGTCGCCAGAAGTGCAGCGGAGAAGCATTGCATAGTGAAGCAAGGAGAGTAGGCGCCGGTTAAACCGAAGCAGGGGTCAGCCCGAGCAGCCGCCAGCAATGGCCAACTTGGGCACGTGTATGGGGGCCTCCTGGAGGCCGCTCGGGGCGGCCACGTCGAAGCTCTCGTGGGGCCCCTTTGGACGCCTCTGGGGCACTCTTGGGGCCCACCTGCGGGAATTTGATGGGTCGAGGCTCCTGGGAGATCAGTCTTCGGGGATCCCGCCTGGCGGTGGCCATTGCTAGATTCGGGCCCCGGGGGGCGGAGTGTGTCCACATCTCCCTCGCGTGTTAGCCTTCGGGACTCTCTTGGGTGCGTCCTGGCCAGCAGCCACAGTGTGGCGGGCTCTCAGTGAGCGCACCCTCTTTCTGGAGCCCGAAAGGCTGCCTCTCGGGACGCTCTCGGTGTGCTCCTGGGGGCCTCCAGTGGCTTCCGGGGAGCTTTCCATGGGCCCGTCTTGAGGCTCGCTCGGGCCGTGTGGAGATGTCAGAGAGGCCGAACGCATTGAAAAGCAGTTGTCTGCCTTCCCATTTGAGGCGTCTTGGGCCGTTCCAGAGATACCCACGAATACGACACTTGACAGATTAGCGATTCAGGTGTCTGATGGTCTTCGCCTTATCGTTTTGCTTCTGCGTGCTTCCTGATACCCTAAGATGGCCCAAAGGGCCCCAGAGCCCCCGCAAGAGCATTCCAATCGGGCGGGCGGAAACGGGAATGCAATGAACGATAGGTGGACCGAGGATTGCAGGAAGGTGGCCCTGTGGGGACTCAAAATGGCCGCTGAACTGCCACCCCTGGCCCAGAAGGTTTACGAAATATGCATTTCTTTTCACCCCATGTCGATTGCCTCCCATTCAAGGACGCCCGATCCAACGGAGCCCCAAGTGGTCCCCGAGATCCCCTTGCAAAAACTTTGCCCGGGTCAGCAACCAATTCTCATACACGCCCCAGTGCGGCCCCAGGAGAGCCCCCCAGGGATTGAAGAGGCCCAAACTGGGCTCCGACGGGACCCCAGTAAAGCTACAGTAGCACCACAAAAGGTTGGCCCCAGAGGTTTCCAAATGACCCTGGGGCCCTCAAAACCCGCGGCTCCGCCCAAGAAGGACTTTGCCTTAGAGTTTTGTCTTCCCTCCGCGGCGGGCCATCGGTCGACGGCCGCCTCGCGAGACGGTCAGCCACCGCCAGAAGCCAGATGTGCGTCGGCGTGTGGGTACGGGGGCAGGGAGCAGCCGAGATGCCGAAGTAAGGAGCCGCTCTGGTTCGGAAGGGGGACTCGCTGCTCACCAGGTCCTTCCATCATCGCTGCCCATCGGGCGCCCCCCGTGCATGTAGACGCTTCCAGGGCCAAATCGGGTCTTCGATCCTTCCTTCGCGTTTTTGGTAGTGCTAGCTCGTCTGCAGGGCCTTCCCCGCGTGGAAATAAGGGGCCGTCCTGGAACAGCTCGCACTCCAAGAACCGCTGCGCCCAGATGGCTGGTGGGAATCTGGCGTTCGGCGTGCTGCTCGTGCGACAGATGCTTCTCCCCTCCTCCCGTTTGGGTCACGCACCCACGTCTTCCATCCGCCCGCAGGGAGGGAGGCAATGATGGACCACCGTTCGTTCCTCATCCTTCCTCGCCTCCTCCTGCAATCTTCCCTCACTCAGTTGCTCCAGCCTTCTCGGTCTTGGTGAATGCTTGTTGGGGTCTCTTCGGAGCGCTCTCGGGGGCCTCTTGAGGGCAGTTTTGGAGCCTCTTGGAGGCCTCTTTGGGGCCTCTTGGGGCATCTTGGAAACCTTTTGGGGCCTCTTGGGGGCCTCTTGGGGGCCTCTTGGGGGCCTTGGGGCCTCCTGGATTTGTGCCTCTTGGGGCACTCGTGGGAGGCTTCTTGGAGGTCTCTTGGGCCGTCTGGGGGCCATCTAGAGTGTCTTGGAGCGATCGTTCGGCGACTCGGGGTCCTCTTGGACCGCCATGTGTGCCTCTTGGGGGCCTTCTTCGTGGGCTCGCACAAGTTACGTGACAAGCCGTGATGGGCCCCATGAAGCACGCTGGAAGTCCCAGGAGATGTTGCTTTTTGGGCTCCGTACCCCTTGAGAACCCTCAGGAGGAAGGATTGAGGCAAAGGTCCTGAGGGCACGCCCACTCCGTGCCCGAGGCAGGAAGGTGGATGCATAGATGAGACACAAACATGCAGGACTGCATTGGCGCTTCACGCCATGCACTTTGGCCCTTGAGGTTTGGCATGCAGACAGGAGAGCAATGAGGTCAACCATAACATTTCGCGGTAACTCGTTGTTGCCGTTTCTGGAATCGTCGTTGTAATCATGTTATTCGTTATCCTTACTTCATGGTTCCTCTTCCTCGTCCTCATTCTCGCCCTACCCTGCGAATTCTTCCCCATCCTGAGCTCTTTTTGCGACGTCTCATCCTAGGAGAGCCTCTTATAAGCCTCACGAAGTTTTTTGGGGCTTGTTGGGGCCTTCTGGAAGCCTCCTGGGTTCCTCCTGGGGGCTTCTGGGGGCTTCCCCAGGCCATCCTGCTTCCAACCGCGGTCTCCCTGGACGACCGGGCCACGATTTGGAATGATTCGGGAGGCGTCTTGAGGCCATCTTGGGCCATCATGGGACTCTCTTCGGGTCATCTTGGGGCTCAGTTTGGCCGTCTTGGGGCGCCTCTTGGACTGCCTAAAAGCCCTCTGGGTGAAATTTGGGGCGATTCTCTGGCCTCCCGGGCGGTCTCGGACGCCCGGAAGACCGAAGAACTGAGCATTCCTAACATCAGACAATAAGCACAAGACATCACTATTTTTTGCATTTCGAATGCCTCTTGGGGGTCTTCTTTCGGTCGTCCGAGGGCGTCTGGTGGGTGTCTGGGGCCTCTGTGGGCTCTCGCGGGGCTGTCCGGCCGCCCTCCTGATCGATTTTGGCCCGTTGCCTGGGATTAGCAGGGGCTTCAAATGCCCCGGAGAGCACGTGGGACCGTCTGCAAGGGCGTCCAGGGTGCCCCTGGGGCCAAGCCTTCGCGATGCGTCGCGATCCTCCAACCCTTTCTACTCGGACCTCACCTAGGAGGCCTCTAGTGTCTGGAGCTCCCGATCCTTTCCTCGGGGGGTAGTTTTCCCGCCCCCGGTGCCCCCCCAGGTCCTCGGGTCGGAGGTTGATGGACCTCCTACCCTGACACGCCGATCCAGGAAAATTGGCCCGTTTTCGGTTCGCGAGAGGGCGCCGCGGCCGTCATCTTGGCGGGTCCGGGCCCGTCGGTTTCGGCCCCAGGCCGTTTCCACCGAGGAGAGGTTTGCCAAAGGGAGGTCCGTCCACCGCCCGGTCGGGGGCAGTCTCCGCCCCCAGTGCCCGACGACGGGCTCCCGAAGCAGAAGTCCGGCAGAGCCGCCGGGATTGAGAAGCATACATCGTCGGAGATCTGCACAGGGTTCCTCTCTAATTCTTCGAGAGTTCTTTGATTTTTTGGGGGACCAACAACTCCCTATGATTCGAGTTGTTCGAGTTGTTCTGATTCTTGGTTTTCTCTGATAGTTCGAGTTGTGCTATCCTGGGCCTCTTCCTGGCCACTATAGGGGCAGGAACAATCAGAAACGAGCACACTTAGAAATGAGCACGATTAAGAATGAACGACGTGTATGTCTCCTCCCTGGCTCACCCTCACTCGCTCGCTCCCCCCCCTCGTCGCCCAAGCCAGCCGCTGGCGCCAGCACCCTGGGAGGGAGCGGGAAAGCGCTGCCTTCCAAAGTAGGGCGGGCCATCTTGGGGGAGGGGGTCGGGCAGTGGTGCAGCTTCCCCTCTTACCCCTCCCTCCTCTATTCTCCCCAGACATCCATAATCGGAGTGTCGCGCGACATCGGCCTATGCATCGGCGGTGCGGCTCGATGGGGAGCGTGATTTTCTCCACGCTGGCGGCGCCGATGCATTGCCGCATCGTCGCCGATGCATCGACGATGCGTCGCGATCCTCCGGCCCCACCTACGTTCCCCCCATCTGGGAGGCCTCCAATGGTATTCACCAAGACGTCCAGGGGTTCTTTTTGCCCCCCGCGCTCAGAGACGAATCACAGAGCACGAGTGGCATGGGGGGCTGCCTGAACCTGGGGCTCCCTTCTCGCACCATGGGCCAATCGCACCACGACGCGCACCCGCAGCCATGAGGGCTCAAGTTCTGGCTCGGTGCAAGATGTGTTGCACCTCGGCTGCCTGGCCAGTGCAGCTACACCCGGCAAGGAATGGGTCGGCCGTGGCGCGGGCCGGCGGAGCCGGCCGCGGCGCACTCTCTGAAGCACCTCGGCAGGGCCAGGGCGGCCACAGACCGCGGCGGAGACTTGACTACGACGACGCCTGGCCTACACGCCACCGGCACGCCACCGGCAGACCCGCCGGCAGGCGTCAGATAGACTGCTGGCTCCTGGTTCGCTCCTGCACGCCCAGCTGCGGACAAAACGCCCGGTGAGAGCGGGGCCGTGCCTTCGGCGAGGGAGGCCTCCGCCATCACCGAGACCACGACGTCTTCGTCCAACACCCAGCAGCCTTGCTCGCTGCTTCCTCCACACCAGAGCTGTGCATCCTACCAGCTCGATGACGTGCTTTCCGAGGATGAGCGTTTTGGAGACGCGGTGCAGCACAATCGCGTTGGTTTGGGCGACAAGGGGACGATTGGATCGGGCGTCCGGGCAGGCATGAGTTTTTTACGGATGCGTGTATAACATCGGATCTGACTCGGTCATGTTCAACAATCAGTCTCCAAGTTCGAGCTACGTTTCACCGCTGCAACGATGCATTTGCATTGGCGTGGCAACTACAACCACTACCACAACTGCAACTCTCTCTACGACAAGCTGGACCAGCAGCACCGTCACTACTGTTTCCAACACGCAGTAACCCTACTCGTTGCTGCCTCCAGATCAGAGCTGTGCATCCTACCAGCTCGATGACGTGCTTTCCGAGTGTGAGTGTTTCGTAGATGCTGTGCAGCACAATCGCATAGGCTTGGGCGACAAGGAGACGAATGGATCGGTCATCTTGGCAGGCATGAGTTTTCCACGGATGAGTTTTCATCTGAGCAGGAAACAGTCATGTTCATCGATCAGTCTCCAAGTCCGAACTACGTTTCACCGCAGTGCTATGCATTTGCTTTGGCGTGGCAACTACAACCACCTCTACGACCCTCACGTACACAAGTTCGAGCAATTTGTCGACCAGTGAGACCAGAAGCAGCATCAGCACGACCAGCAGCAGCAGCGAAACCACCACGACCCTGAGCAGCAGAACCCTGACCAGCATCAGCGAGACCAGCAGCACCCTAACATATTCTACACCAACTAGCTGTACGACGTCCACGTCCACCATTTCGGAAACCGCCAGGACCCTGACCAGCACCAGCGCGACCAGCATCAACGAGACCAGCAGCACCGCAACCAGCGGGACCCTGACCAGCCCTGGTACAACCAACATCAGCGGGACCAGATCAGCGATTCTGTTGGGTCTTGTCCTCGCGAGTGGCATCGCCATCTTGGTCTTTGGGGTCACATTCATCACGGTGTACCAGCGTCGACGGCGTGTGGTAACGCAATTGCCCGCAAGTGAGTAGACCCAGCCAAGTTGGTGCTCCCACATTCTGAAGGTATCCTGCACTGCCTTCACTCCTCGTCCTCGAACTTATATAATCTTGCTGCGGCTGAGTTTTGACTGAGCTGTGACCACTTGCTATATTGCGCCTGTTATGCCTCTGATTTCAACGCTGGTGCCCCACGCATAATGCCCTCACGCGGAGACATATCCGATCATTGTTACAGGTAGGTTGATGTTTTGAGGCAGCTTCTCAGGACGCGTGGACTTGTCCGTACTGTCTCACGCCGGTCTTTTGCAGCCCGTCGCGTTTGACCTTTTGCTTTTCGCATTGTGGTTATACGCTAGCCTCACCGATACAAAGCATGGAGGTGCCCGCTTCTTTCTCTCTCTCCTCCAGAATTGCGCTGGAATGCATCATCCCCCCCAGTGTCCCCCTTTCTCCTCATCCACCATCCGAGGCTGCTCAGGTGCCGACGGAATGTTGCGCCTTTGAGTTTGCATTAGATTTGAGCTGATGAAAATTCGCATCACGACGTGCAGTACCGTCCTGCTCCAGAGGTTTGAAATAATCGAGTCTGTTTTCTGCCCAGCGTTTTTCAAGCAGTGGCAAGGCGCTTGCTTATAGGCCGCAAAAGACTGTTCTAGTAACATTGTGGGGTTTATACGAGATGTTATTCGGACATGTCTGGCTGAGACCGCCTTGAGTTGTGACATCGGCTCTATGTTCTGAAAGCGTTCATTTTACATTCGAGCGTCTCTTTCTTCTCAGAGCATGTCGTGCTAGGCCTATAGGAATGCCGGGACGATCGATTTCTGCTCAGCGTTGCCGGCCTTAGGACCTCCTGGGGCCGTCAAGGCGACGGCTCGGGGTGAAACGTGTGATCCCTGCACGCACGGCCGAGGTCGAGAGGGCGCGGGGGGGCCAGAGGCTCGAAGGGCGTCGGGCCATGGCGGGGGCCCGCTCCCCCCCTCCTCCTCCTCCTCCTCCTCCTCATCCTTCCTCCCTTTTCCTTTTGTTTGTTTGTTACTGGTTTGTTCCTCGTCTCCCGTCGCCTGTCGCCGACCCGTGCCCTGGGGAGCCGCCTGGCCCGAGGGCCCGAGGCTGGACTGAGGCCGCGGCTGGCGCTTGTGGGCAGGCGCCAGGCGCGGCTGCAGTCCTGCGGCGTCCTCCTCGCGTCCACGTGTTCGGCCTCTGGGGCGGGTCGTTCTCGAGATGTGGCTCTCGCCTCAGCGCCGCGCGCACTCGTTCTGAAAGGGTGTGCCAGAGCTGTAGCTCCGCGCACACTCTTTTTTGAAAAACAATCGCAAGTGCTTCACGGATTCAGGGCGGTTCCTTCTCAAAATGTGGTTGACGCTTCAGCGCCGCGCACACTCGTTTTAAAACTTCACGTGTTTGCGTGATCAGGATACCAGAAATTATATTTTGGAAGGGTTCGTGATTATGAGAGCGCAACAGTTGCGTTGATTCGCGGTGTTGAAGTTCCAAGAATGGCGTTCTGGCACGGTTCAGGAACGTCAAGACGACACAGTCAGGTTGATCCGTGGCGTTGGAATCCCGAGAACGCTGGTTTCGCATGCATCAGGGTGGTCAAAAAGTTGTCTTCCAACGGAGCAGTTCCCCTCAGTGGACATGAACCACTGAACCCTTGTAGGGGCCTATGAAGAGGGAGCTTGGAGGGAGGGTGTATTCCAACATCGTTGACGAATCTTGGATTTACACCTCCTCCTCCTCCTCCTCCTCCTCCTCCTCCTCCTCACCCGATCCCCTTCGGGTCATGAAGAAATCGTGACGGAAGAGTTCTCCATTTTTTCTGCCTCTGGAGAGCCTCATCGGCCTTCGGGCCTTCGGGACCGTCCAAAAGACAACTCGAGATGAAAACTGGTCCCAGGGAATAGGTCGAGATCGGGACCGTTCGGGGCCCTCGTCATGAAAACTCATGACGTGAAAAGGTTGATGATGCCGCACGGGGACTTCTGGATGACCACGCACGGGAAGCCGCCTAGGCAGGCGGATGCTGCTGAGGGCAGAGGTGGCGCCCGGGCTGGCTCACATCCTCCCCCTGCCCGGGTGTGACGCCGAACTGCGCGAGGGCGCCGTCGGCGTTGTATCTGCAATTCCTGATGTGGGCCTGGGTCCTTGCGCCCAGCGAGCCCCAGCGGCCGCTGAGGCAGAACAAGCTCTTCGAGGACTTCGCCAAGGAGGCCGAGGCCATGGACGAGGCGGGCGCCCTCTCTCGCCTCCCGCCCTCCTCGCGTGGAGGTGGTGTGGAGGGTTTCTTACGTTGCATCTTCGGGGGACCTCGTCTATCCCAAACTTCGGTGTCCTCTCGTGTGCCCGTCGCGGGTTCCATGCGGACTCGACGCGGATTTGGCGTGGAGTTGACGCGGGTTCGACGCGAATTCGACGCGGAGCCGACGAGTCCGGATAGTGGCGCGCCGGGACAGACAAGATTCCCCGAAGATGCCACATAATGCTTCGGGGGTTTGTCAAAGTTGTTTCGTTACTTCCGGGAAGTGTTCTGAGGTCTCTCCGGGGAGGGAAAGGTACCGATACATTGCTACCCTTCCCACTTTCTGTTTTTTTTGCGGGCCTCCTTGGAGGCTCTCCGCCGCCACCGCTGGATTCGCCTCGAAATCCTGGTCAGAACGCACCCCGGGAGAGGTCTGGGGAGTAGCGGCGTTGGTAATCTTTATTTCCCCGAGTTCTTGGCGATGTTCTGAGGTTCCCAGGAGCGAGAGGTCATCCCAGACCTCGAGTGCGTTGCAGCAGTCAGGGTGGAGAGGTCGTACACGTTTCGGCTCCTCGGCGGGTATTTTTGTTCCCCGAGTTTAAATCAGCAAGAGCAGTATGTGGAACAAGGGATCAGTTCTAGGGAAGGGTGCGTGCAGGTCACGCATTCACAAAACACAGCGACATCTCAGGACGTGGTTTCGACGGCCCGTCCTGTCGTTTCTCCACAAACGTGGACGATAGGCTCTGGCCTTTTTGATGCTATCCTGGGAGCCCAGATGGGGCGGAGCCGACCTGTGTCAAGAACCATTATACATGGCCGAGAAGGAGCAGTGTTTAGATGGGACCCGACCTCACGCCGTTGGTCCACCCAGTCATCGGCCCAGCGCCCCGTACAGCAGCAGCAGCAGCAGCAGCAGCAGCAGCAGCAGCAGCAGCAGCAGCAGCAGCAGCAGCAGCAGCAGCAGTACGACCACTTTCGGTTGTAGCACGTGCGCAGTAGGGACGGGTGTCCCCCCCACACGCCCTCCCTGTCGCCTATAAGCGCGACGTAGAGTATTTCTGCTCCCGTCGGTCGGACACTAGGTTCGGTTCGAAGGTTGAAGGTACACGCTAAGGTGCAATATAGACCGAGGTCAAGCCAATGGTTCGTCCAGTGGGTCCACTGCGCATTTAGCTACGGGCGTGAAGTCTGATATGTATCGGTGCCAGCCCGAAAGCGGTGCTTACCACCTGGGGCGAGCTCATTCTATGAGAAAGTGTGTGGCGCGAGAGCTACAGTTGTATCGTAGCGACGTTCTGTGTTTCGGCAGAGGGATGGTTGACAGTTCTGCGTACGATGCAAGATGCAGGAGAAGTAACGAGGAGGTCAAGGTCAAGCCCGCGCGCCGCAAGGCGAGCCCATCAAGGTCGCAGACGTTTTTGTTTATCCGGGGGCTGAATTCGGTCATGATGTGTAAAGAGACGGGTGCTGCCAGAACGAAGAGCTCCCCTTGCCGTTGCCCCTGCCAGGCCACCGTTCGGAACGAGGCGAACGCTGCGGTGGACTTTATCGGAGCGAAGCTGGAGGCGGGCGGATGCCACGGTGTTCGGTGGAACACACTGGGAGAGGATGTGCAGGGGATGCCACTGTGTTCGGTGGAACACACTGGGAGAGGATGTGCAGGGCACTGACCCAGACCCTCTCGCATCGTGAAAACGTAGGACGCGATTCAGTTATGTTATTTTCTTTCTCTGGGGGCCTTGCCCGGTCCAAAAAACGACTCGTGATGAAAAGCCGGTCCCACGGGTTGGGTCGAGACTTGTGGAGGTGGACGCTCTGGAAAATTATGCCGGTGGGGGTCAGGGGGAGGTGTCTTCGAGGAAGCAGTATCGACAAATCGGGCAGGGATTGCACATGAGCGTTCGCAGCATGTTGACGTACGAAGTAAGATTGAGTGTGGGGGTCGCGCAGGGTGACAGGGACCATTGGCACTAGAATCTGGAAGTGTGTGAGGGTAGGGGCTAGGGCTGTCTATGTTTCACCCCGCTCTCCCTCCCATCCTAAACCTGGTTCGGCGAGAGCGGGCGCCGATGTTGATCACGCCGGCGACGATGACGGCGTCCTCGCGTCGGTGATGAAGGTCTTGGAAGGATTTCGACATGCGCGCGCGGCCGACGCGCGAGAGTGGCCTGTTTGGTGTTATTTGACACGGATCGTGCCCCTCCAGCGCGCGCGCAAGGGCGTGCAAATGATTTCAGCATGCGGCGCCAGAGGCCTGTTTGGCAGAATTCCCTGGACAGGTTGACCATTATTGTTTGCTATGTTTTTGGGGCGCTCGATTTTGAACTCCTTTCGAAACCTAAATTGTTTAAAGGATTCCGGCATGCGCGCGCGACGACGCGGGCGTGTGCATTTCGTGTCATTTTTGTAAGGGGTTTACGAAAAGTAATGATTTTTGATAAGCGAGTGCGCGCGCATAGTATTTGTTGCAGGGGATGACGGGGTGGGGGTCGATACCGGTTGGGCTGGGATGGTACAAGTTCACATTTTGGATGGACGATGGGGCAGAATCAGATGTAAATTGCATTGCGAAACGGGATACCGATAATGCTGGGGGGCGGTGGGGGTAGAGTCTATTGTCTTCTCGGAAAAGAGAATTTACCTTGCCGGGTTTGAAGTTGTCGGGCCCACTGCTCGCGCAGTCATCCCACCCACCCACCCGCATCTTGTTTGGCAAAACGCGAGCATTGACGATTGCCGTGAGTGCTTGGTGTTGGCTGGTGAATCTCTGCGGCCGCGCCGCTTGCCCGCGCATGCTCGCGCGCGTCGCGGCCAGCTAGTTTGGCGCGACCGACGCGAACGCCGTATCATGGCAACGTCGGCAACGGTAGGCACGATGATAATAGCGAACTTGGCGACGATGTTGGCAACGGCAATGGCACGCCCAGTGACGGCGCCGATGCTGATCACGCCGGTGACGATGACGGCGTATTTGCGTCGGTGGCGAAGGTCTTGGAAGGATTTCGACATGCGCGCGCGGCCAACGCGCGAGAGTGGCCCGCATGGTGTTTTTTTGACACGGACCGTGCCCGCCCAGCTCGAGCGCAACAGCCGTCGAATCATGTCAGCATGCAGCGCGAGAGACCTGTGTGGCAGAATTATATGAACATGTTGAACAACTTACGCGACAGATTTCGCAACAGCGCGACGGATTTCGGCATGCGCGCGCGACGACGCGCGCGCACTTTGTCCCATTTGTACAAACGGGTTTTTGCAACAGCGGGCGCGTACAAAAGGAATTCGAACGATTTAGACGTATGCGCCCGTGAAGCTCCCATTTGGTAGCATGTTATGGCAATGTTGGTAAACATATGTTGGTAGCTTTCAGAAGATCAAATGTGATATGCCACTTTAAAATTCGCAAATTCGCGAGTTAAGTTCTTTGTTGGAAAATCGTTGTTGGTAAACCATGTGTTTATATGTTGTTTGGTCATTTGATGTTGGACTCATTGCGGGACTTAGGGTGTTGGAAGATTTCGGCATGCGCACGCGACGACGCGCGCGTGTGCAATTCGTTTTTTGTTTTGCCAGGGTTTTGTGTTGGGGGAAATTGCCGATGTTTGATAAACGAGTGCGCACACAGATGTCATTTTGCAGAGGATGGCGGTGGGAGTCGATACCGGTTGGGTTGGGATGGTACGTGTTTTTAGAATGGACGATGGGGCAGATTCATATGTAGATTGCAATGCGAAAAGGGGGGACAATAATCCTGGGGTGGTATACCCTATAAGTTCTCAAGAAAGGAGGATCCATGCGAAGGAGACGGCAGCGACGGGATGCACCGCCCGCAAAAATCGCCACTCGCCCCGAGCGGTGGCGGCGGCGACGGCGGCGACGGGCGGCACCGTCCGCAAAAGCTGGCATTACCCCGAGATGGTTCAGCCAAGTAAGGACCTAAGTGCAAGCAATGTTTGGAGAATATGGTCCCCAAAGAGGCTCAACACGGCCCAAGACTTCCCTGGATGGGCTCAAGACTGCCACGAGACGACATCAAGAGACGCCCAAGACGGCCTGGACGGGCCCAATATGGCCCAAGATTGTGGCGCCAAGACAGCCCAAGGGACGGCTTCAAGAACGCCTCCGAGGAGCCTGAGTCGCCCCAAGAGGCCAGAGTCACCTTGTGCTCTTCGGACGTGACTATAGAACCCAGGGCGTGAAGCATTCCTCCTCCAACATGCTCTCCCTTCTGTGTCCCCGGTTGCCTGTGGAGATGCCGGTGCTGCCAGCCATATAGGTCGGTGAAGGACGAGGAGGACGAGGGCGAGGGGGCGAGAGCCTGGGGGGGGGGGGCGGAGGGAGGGGGGCTTCAGGCAGGCCTTCAGAGAGTTCCAGAACGCTCTCAGAGCGTTCCGGAACGCTCTGAGACGGCCGCGGCGCCCGATACATCATCCAAATTTGCCGATTCTCATGGATTTCCGCTTCATATCGGTCCAATGCTGTCTCGATTCTGCCTTCGTCTTCGGGGAGGGGGTGCGAGGGCGACGAGGAGGGCCAGACGGGATGACGAGGAGAGCCCCCTGCGGAGGGCAAGGCGCGCAGGGCGACGGGGAGCGCCGTTGGCGCCGAGGCGCCCCGCACGAAAAAAGCCACCCAAGCGACAGGCCAAGAGGCCGAAGGCGCCGGAGGCCTCTGCGCCGGAGAGGGAGCAGCAGGAGTTCACCAAGCTGAGCCAGGACTCGCCGGGCCTGGCGCCGACCGGGGCCCCAGGAAGTCGCTCCAGGAATGAGGAGGAGGAGGAGGAGGAGGAGGAGGAGGAGGAGGAGAGGAAGGAAGAGGAGGAGGAGCAGAATGAGAAGGAGGAGGAGGAGGTGGAGGAGGAGGAGGAGGAGGAGGAGGAAGGGGGGTGGAGGTGGAGGAGGAGGAGGAGGAGGAGGAGGAGGAGGAGGACGGGCCTAGAATAATCGTGAGAAATCCGTCCCAGAGCGTTCTATAACGCTTCCAGAGCGTTCGGGAACACTCTAAAACGGTCGCGACGGCTGATGCAGCCCCCAAGCCCGCGAATTCTCAGAGATGGCGGATTTATATGATGTCGGTCCAGTTCTGTCCCGATGCTGCCATCGTCTTACGAAGGAGTCGACGAGACAGGACGCAGCGGCGACGCCAGCGGCCGACGGCCGCCCTCTAGCCAGAGCGGGCTCTGGCGGCTGCGGTGGCGCCCAGGCGCGGTGCCGAAGCGGCCAGGTGAGGGTGGCCTGCGACGGCGGTGGCGGCACTGGCGGCCTGCGGCTGGAGCGCGCGGCGCCGCGCTCCCCCCCCCCCCCCGCGTGGGCGGCGGGCGTGTGCGGTCCGCGCCTGCGCACTCCGAGCGCCCAAGGGGCCCCATCGGACGCGGGACTCCCCTGGGGCTGGGCAGCAGAAGGGGAGGAGGAGCAGGAGGAGGAGGAGGAGGAGGAGGAGGAGGAGGGGAGGAGGAGGAGCAGGAAGAGGAGGAGCAGGAGGAGGAGGAGGAGGGAGGAGGAGGAGGAGGAGGAAGAACACGCGGAGGAAGAGGAGAAGGAGGTGGAGCAGTAGGAGGAGCAGGGAGGAGCAGGAGGGGAGGAGGAGGAGGAGGAGGAGGAGGAGGGAGGAGGAGGGAGGAGGGAGGGGGAAGTAGGAGGAGGAAGAAGTAGGAGGAGGAGGAGGAGGAGGAGGAGGAGGAGGAGGAGGAGGAGGAGAGAGGAGGGGAGGAGGAGGAGGCAGGAGGAGGAGGAGGAGGAGGAGGAGGAGGAGGAGGAAGAGGAGGGGGAGAAGGGGGAGGAGGCAGGCCGAGACTCAGGAGGAGGAGGCAGGAGGAGGAGAAGAAGTAGGAGGAGGGAGGAGGAGGAGGAGGACGAGGAGGAGAAGGCAGGAGGAGGAGGAGGAGGAGGAGGAGAGGAGGAGGAGGAGGAGGAAACACGCGGAGGAAGCTGAGGAGGAGGAGGTGGAGGAGGAGGAGGAGGAGGGGAGGAGGAGGAGGAGGAGGAGGAGGAGGAGGAGAGGAGGAGGAGGAGGAGGAGGAGGAGGAGGAGGAGGAGGGAGGAACAGGAGGAGGAAGCAGGAGGAGGAGGAGGAGGGAGGAGGAGGAGGCAGGAGGAGGAGGAGGAGGAGGAGGAGGAGGAGGAGAAGGAGGAGGAGGAGGAGGAGGAGGAAGAGGAGGAGGAGGCAGGAGGAGGAGGAGGAGGAGGAGGAGGAGGAGGAGAAGGAGGAGGAGGCAGGAGGAGGAGGAGGAGGCATGGGCTGCGGCCGACGTCGCGAAATATTGCAGCATCCTGCGGAATCGCGACCGTCACCGAAATCGCGATGTCACGAAGTGCTGCAAACCTGGCGTGTTTTCTCGATCTCTGCTTCTGGGGCCCGTCATCGGGCCCAGAGGCCAGTAAACACGGATTCGGAACGACAACCTACCCCTGGGGAAGGATTCGGGACATTTGGGGCCACGAAAACCACATCGTCGGATGTCCGACCAGGGGTGCGCTCCAGGCAGAATCTCGCGCGGAATCCGTGGCAGGCCTCCCAGAAGTCCAGAAACGGGGCGACGACAAGCCCTCCAAAGGCACAGAACAAGTAGCTTCCCGTTCTCGACAAGACCGCGAAACAAGACACGACGACCGTTTGTACAACGTTCTATGCATCAGCCAGCTCGCGTGGCGTTCAGAAATCGCCGGCGACCTCATGACTCGGAGGAGAAGCCCTTCATCGCTGTCATCCCACAGGTGACAGCATCGGGTGGGTTAGGCTCATGAGTTTCCCCTGCCTCACACACTGGGCCGGGAGGTCCCAGGAGGGCCCTGGATTTCCCGGCCCCTCGGCCCAGTGGTCGCTGGGCGCCACGAGGGCGCGCGGGAAACACAACAGCCTTTGGCCGTGGGTTGGGCGGGAGGGCCCCAGGGCGCCACCCTGGGGGGCCAGGGGGAAAGGATGCCGTCGCGTGCCTGGGGCGAGGAAGCGCAGACGTGCGGGAAGGCGCGTGGATCAGGGACGGGCCCCGTTGCCATGCAGGATCGGCGCGCTCCGTCGCACCTCGGGCGGCACCGGGTTCATGTTCCGGGGAGTGTGCTCCCCGATCTGTGTTAGCGTTTTTCCCCGATTGGACGCTCGTCCACTGGGAGGAAAATGCTCCTCCTCCTCCTCCTCTTCCTTTCTTGTGGGGCCGCTGCCTCCGAAACGCAAGAGGGAGCGAGCACCGTGATAGCGTGCTTGGCGCCGGTGGCACTTCAGGCGTGCTGTTCTTCAGCGCCCTGGGTTTCACAGCGCTCCTTCTCCTCCTCCTCCTCCTCCTCCTCCTCATCCTCCTCCTCCTCCCGTTTAAAGGAAATCCCCGTGTTGTCCGTTTCAGTTCGGTCGAATTTCATTCGGTTCTCGTGCACCCACTTGTGAGCTACAGGCAGGGTGCTCGCCGAGCCTTCTGACTCGTGATGCTCGCGCGAGGAGGGTGGAGAGTCTCTCCGCGCACGAATCGAGACAATGTCACAACGTCATTCTACCAGGCTTGGCCTCACGCGGCGGAGTCAGCGCAGGACGTCCAGCCACATCGATATGCTCAGGGCCGGTGCCGCCGATCCTGGAGGGGACCGACGTCGACTACGACGACGATGACGCGTTTGGCCTCCTCGGGCCATGCTGGAAGTGCTCTTGTCGCTTGTTGGGGCCTCTTGGATACGGGGGCTTCCGGGGTGCCTCTGGCCATCTTGGAGGTGCTCTTGTGGCTTTTGTATTTGGCCTTTTGCGTATTCCTCGGGGGCTTCCTGGGCGCCTCATTGGGGCCTCCTGGGGGCCTCATGGCCCGAAAACTGAAAAGCGCAGGACCCGTTTCCTTCAGGACCCGTGCAGGAATTAGGCGCGTCGTAGGCGAGTCGAACTTCCGAAGTATCCTCTGGGTGCCACGGCCAGCGAGCGCGGTGGCGGTGGCGGCAGGATGCCGCGCGCGCGCTCTCCATCGGGCCGCGCGCGGGCTCTGGTGCGAGAGGCCTTGGGCCGAGAGCTTTGCCGGAGTCGAGGGCGCGCGGGATGGCAAGTGGCGCCGAAGCCCCTCGGACATTTTGCTTGTCTCGCCATAAGGGAAGCGGGTATCGAGTGGAACGGGTCCTGAGTTTATCGCCGTTGTTCGTTCTCCGACGGCCCCGGGACCGTCAGAAGACGACTCAGGATGAAAAGTTGGTCCTTGGGGAAGTCCCCAAGACCCAGGACCCGTTCCCCCATGCTAAATGCATCGTCTTCGAACCATTCGAAAAGCGGGCATTGTGTCAGGTCTGATGGGTTCCATGTGTTGGTATGTCGGGTGAGATTGGGTGGGAATGATTGTGTGTACCGAGATGCGTTCGACGGGGCGTACATTTCGGTACATGGCTAGGCGTTTACTAGCTGGCGTTACGCGCCAACTGTCCCTACGAGGCCCGTCTGAGCGGATCGTTCGAAGCTGGCACGCTGTCTCTGCCAGGCCAGGTGGGAAGGGCCGTGTGTGCGTACTGATCTGTGCTCGACAGGGCGCACATCTCGGTACAAGGCTCTGCGTGTATAGATTGGCGCAATGCGCCAAATGTTCCCCCGAGGTCCGTCTGAGTTGATTCTCCGATGCAGGCTGGGCCTGCGCGCCGCCTCCATGGCGGAACGTAAAGGTTCCGTGCGCAATTATCTGATTGATCGGACGTTTACTCGAAGTCGATGCGCTCCAGAGCAGGAAGAACACCCGGACTGCTACGATCGTGTTCCTCTACTGTCTTGGGCATAGTGGGCGTGATAGCCCCCATCCCCCGCCCCCAAAACTCTGGGCCTCCTAGATGGGGTCCGACTAGATGGGGTCGGAGGATTGCGCCGCATCGCCGATGAATCGCCGATGCGGCTCGATGTGGAGCCCGATTTGCTTCACGCGGACGTCGCCGATGCATCGCCGACGTCGCCGGTGCATCGCCGGTGCATCGCCGATGTATCGCCGATGCATCGCCGATGCATCGCCGATGCATCGCCGATGCGCCGCGATCTCCCGACCCCATCTACTCAGAGCCCATCCAGGAGGCCTCTAATAACGTAACACCCCGCTTCCCCCAGTGCGCCCCGAGCATTGCCGCCATGCGCATCGGGATCCGCACAGGCGTCCGCACAGGAATCCGCATATGAGTCTGGTCCGCAGTCGTCGCCGTCGACGTCTTCGTCGTCGTCATCGTCGTCGTCGTCGTCGCTCGTCGCTCGTCGCTCGTCGCTCATCGTCGTCGTGCGCGCGGACGCGGCTGGAGCCTTTTTAGAATTCTGAGCCGATGACGGCCGTCATCTGGGGGGAGTGGGGGACGGGGCTGAGGACGTCACGTTTCGCGCCAGCGGCGCCTGGGAATGCCTAGGAATGACCGAGGACGGGTAGCAGCAGCATGTAGGTGGCGATCCGCACCACAGCGCCTGTGTACACGACAGTGCCTGCGTGCACCACAACGCCTATGTATACCACACAGCCCATGTACACCACAGCAGCCGCGCGCAGCACAGCGCCAGTGTGCGCCAAAGTACCTGCGGACACCACATCCCTTGTGTACGCTACAGCGCCTGAGTACACCACATCAGCCGTGAGCAACACAGCACCAGTGTACACCACAATGCCTGCGTGCACTACAGCGCATGTGTACAGCACGGCGCCTGCGTGCACCACAGCAACAATGCGCAACCAAGCACAACTGTTGCATATAGAATGGTTTAAATAATCCTTCTGACAGAGTGGAGCGCTTGAGGATTTCTCAGAAAACAAATGTGTCATATAGGATTTGGAAAAGAATTCTGATGGAAAAAGGAGCGCCGCTAGAATCTACGAGGCTTCCCCCATCATCCTCATCCATTCCATGCGCGTCCAGGAGGTTCCAGCAGAATTGGTCATCCTAGCACCAAATGCACTGATTCAATGAACCATTTTGCGGTGCGCGCTGAAATGTGCACGTGCGCTGTAGCGCCGACCCGCACGACAGGGGTGAAGGGTGAGGGAGGAGGATGAGGAGGAGGAGGAGGAGAAGGAGGAGGAGGTGGAGGTAGGGGTGGAGGTGGAGGAGGAGGGAAAAACGCCCCAGACTATTGTCAACACTTCCCTGGCGTGGCGTTTAGATGTCCGCAGCAGATCCTCACTTACATGCTCCTTCTACCTGTCCTGTGCACGCAGGCGCTGTGGTGTACACCGGCGCTGCGTTGCAATCGGATGCTGTGCTGTAGACTGGCGCTGTGGTGTGCAAAAGCGCTACGGCGCACGCAAGCATTGTGGTGTACACAGGCGCTGTGTTGCACATGGTTGTTGCGGTGTACACATTCGCTGTTGTGTGCACAGGCGCTGTGGTGCAGGTAAATACTGTGGTGTACACAGGCGCTGCATTGCACATGGCTGTTGCGGTGTACGCAGGCGCTGTGGTGTACACTCGCGCTGTCGTGCACGCGAGCATTGTGGTGTACGCAGGCATTGTGTGGCAGATCGCCGCCTACATACTGCTCTTATTTGGCCTTGGTGATCCCTAGGCATTCCCGGGCGCCGTCGGTGCGGAACGTGACGTCATGAGGGGGGGAGGGCGGGGCCGTGGTGCCGGAGCCTCACGGCAGGGGGGGGGGGGGGGGGCGTTACGTTATACCCCCCCGCCTCCTAACGCCCATTATCGCCGAAAAGAAACAAACGTGCTCTACCTGCCCTCGCTTTCCCCCTCTCGAGTCTGCCACCGCTGGATTCGCCTCGAAGTTTTGGTCAGGATGCACCCCGACAGAGGTCCGGGGAGTAGCGGTATAGGCACCTTTTGGTAACGGCAGCGACTGGCGACGACGCCGGCCTCAGCGAAGAGGAGTTCGACCTCAAGCTGGGACAGCACGCAGAGCTGCAGAAGAAGGTGCCCCCCCGGCCGCCGAGAAGCCGGGCGAGAGAGAGAGCGGAGGGCGAAGGATCGATCTCGGGACGTGTGCCAGCCGCTGGCCCAATGTGTGTTTGCCCCGCTCAGCTCCACCGGCATCGGAAGGAGGAGGCTGTGATACGGCTCGACTGCGATAGTGGCCCTCGGGCCGCGGAGACGCCCTGTCACTTGCGCGCACCGCCCGTAGGCCTTCGGGCCAGCGCGACAGGGATGCGGGCCGGTCGTCCTCACCGGGGACCCGGGCCCTCGTGCTTGCGGGGCGCACTCTGCTGGAGCCTCGCCGCGCGCATGCCACGCCCAAGTCCGCGCGGCCAGGCCCACCCAGCGGCATCTGCCTACCAGCTCCCCCGGGCGTCCAGGGCAGGGAGGCGGTGGAGGGTAGAGGAGGACTGGTGCGGGAGGGGCCCTGCCGCCCGGAGAGCGCCCGACCGTGGCCCGTGTCCGTTCCGGGGGGGGGGGGGGGGGGGCTGATCCGAGCAGCCGGAGGCCCTACGTTCCACAGCATTGGCGCCACGCGGCCCAGGGCGCGAAGGCCCCTGCGTGGCTTGGGCGAGGCCTCGTGCCTGGGGTGGCCGCCAGCGTCTGTACGAAGCGGCCCGTGCGCGCCCGGGCCGGGCCGAGGTGGCGGCGGCCGCCTCCAAGGCTGCGCTGCTGGAGGCGGCCCGGGAGCCGCTCATGGCCAAGCTGGACAAGGCCAAGGGCTCCACGGTCTGCCCGCGGCCAGCGCTCGATGCCTGCATCCTCGGACGGCGGCGGCGGCCGCGACGGCGGCGGCGGCAGCGAGGACGACGCCCACCTACCCTCGAGCCTCGATCGACGGCGACACGGCCACCGTCACGGCGACGGCCGCGGCGACGACCACGGCGACGGCGACGGCGGCAGCCATGGCGGCAGCCACGACGACGCCCATCCTTGAGGCTCGATCCTCGATCGTCGGCGGCGGCATCGACGACGGCGGCGGAGACGACGCCCGCCCCCTGACCCTCGACCCTGAATCGGTGGCGGCGTTGGTGCTGGTCCGAGACATGCGACGCCCAGATTTGTTCACTATGGAGTCCCAGGAAGTCCCGAAACTTTCCCCATGACCTGTATTTCATCCTGAGTCGTTTTGTTGACGGTCCCGCGGGCCGGCGAGGGCTCCCCAAGTCCGAAAATGGTCACAAGCTTCCCGTCCTGATTCTGTTTACGACGCGATCATGTCTGGGGTGATGACGCGCGGTCGGCGCCCCCCTCCAGGAGCGCGCTCGAGGGCGGCGGCATCGGCGGCTCGGGCCCGGCTGGGCGGCCGTGGCCGCGGCGGCGGCGGCGGCGGTGCCGCGGCGTCGGCCCTGGCATCCGCAGCGGAGGCGGCGGGGCCGCCTCGGCGGCGCGGCGGCGGCGGCGGCGGCGGCGTCGTCGGCGCGGCGGCCTCGGCAGCTGCTCCTGGCCCCATTGTGGGGGAGGGCCGAGGGTCCAGGTGTCCAGGTGTTTTTGTTGACGTCCCCTGCCTGGTCTCCTGCATCCGCCCCTTCCCCCCCCCGCTCTCCCCTCGCTGCGACCCCGTCCCTGGTCGTCGTCCTGCTCCGCCATCCCTCCGTATTCGGAGCAGCAGTTGCAGCAGCAGGAGCACGGGAGAATTGGAGTACAGCCAAGACGCTGAAAGAAGGACCGCCTTGGGTCCATGAGGGGCTGTGGTTTTCGAGCCGTTCCTTAGACCTGGGTCGGGGAACCTGTTCGTGGCCGAGGCTCGCCGTGACCAGAAACGCCCCTTCGTCCCTTATTGTACGTTCCTTTGGTAGCACGATGGCTGTAGCAGTTGCAGCAGCACGAGCGTGAGAGTGAGTGGAAGCGTGAGTGGAATTGGTGGCATTGAGGAATACGGGTGAAGGAGGAGGTAGACGAGGTGGACGTCGACAAGTGGAAGAGGAGGAGAGCGTGGACGAGAACGAGGAGTGGAAGAGGAGCAGCAGCAGGAGCAGCAGGAGTGGAGGCGCAGGTGACGGAGCGAGCAGGAGATGGCGCTGGATGGGGGATGGCGAGCGGGAGGCGGAGTGGAGGTCCTCGAGGGCGAGGGCCAGGGGGAGGGAGGGGGGGCGGCGGGCGGCGGAGGAAGAGGGTGGGGGGGACGAGCAGAGCCGAGAGAGGTCACCGACCACTCCATCTTCTACAACCACGCCCGCAAGTTCGAGGACTCCCGCTTGCCTTGCTTTTGGGTTTTCGGCTGTGGTGCCTGCCAGGCTGAGTGAGGAGTGCAGGGGTTGCGTCGCCGTCGCCGGCAAACAACAAAAACAACTCGAGGACTCCTACTTCGAGGACATGGATGCCCTCGGGGTGCTGCGGCCAGACGTCACGACCAGGACCGGCCTCGCCTGCAGGGGGCGGACATGCGGGGGTCGCTCCAGAGAGGGCCTTGCCTTCGAGGATCGAAAGGGTTGCCATCTTTCCCGTAGCTGACGGCGGAAGGGCGGCGGAAATACAACAAGGCCGCCTCCGCCGGCGAAAGCCGGCGGAAGCCAGAAGTAAACCGAGGCCGCCTCCGCCGGCGGAAGCTCAGTTGAACTCGCCGGAAGCAAACGTCGATCCTCAAATAGATGACAACATTTTTCGGTTCAGGGTTCCCGGAATCGGCCATGTATCGGATGGCCTTCGGCCCATCCGGCCACCGCGCCTGGATTGTGGTCAGTTCTGAGGCCTCTTGGGAGCCCTCCTGGGAGCCTCTTGGTGGCCTCTTGGAGCTTCCTCGGGACCTCTTGGAGCTTCTTCGGGGCCTCTGGGGAGCTTCTGGGGGGCCTCTGGGGGGGCCTCTTGGGGCCTCCTGGGGCGCCTGGCGGCGATGGGGGCTCGAAATGTCCGCTCGGGTCTTCCGTCTGCGCCCCCTCTGGGAGCTGTCCTGGGGGCCCTTTTTTGGCCGTCCTGCAGGCCTCTTGAGCCGTTTTCGGGCCCTCTGGCCTGGTCTTGGGGCCGACTTGGAGGCCTCTTGGGCCCAGGGCTCAAGCTGAACGGTGCTTTGGCGACTTCGTGGACCGTTTTCGTTTGGATCGACGTCGCTTCGGGCAAGCTGTTCTCATCAGCTTCTCAGCCTCAGGCTGCGGTCTAAGCCTTTGGCTCCGCCAGTCCTGCAGGCGCTCAGCCCCTAATTACCTCGCCCTCAAGATTGCTGATGTCCACCAGGCGCCCGATAGACGCTGTCCAAGTGATCTGTTCTCTACGTCACATGGCTGACGGGTTGGTGGCAGCATCTCCGTAGAGCGCCGCCGCGGAGGAGCTCCTCGGTGGCGCCGTCCTCACACTCGCGCGTCTCGGCGTACTCCTCGGGCTGGCGACCTAGTCGATGTAGAGCGGTGGTCATCTTGCGATTGGCAGAGCGCTGACTTTCGTTGACGGCATCGCCAACGACGCTCTCACAAACATGTAGCGAATTCAAAGACGCGATGGCCTGCTTCAGTCGAGACTCCCGATGACAATGAGGGGCCATCCAAACTGCGGGCTGAGGGGCGGCCGAGGTCGAGTCTACGGGACGGCGAACGCCGCCGCCGGCAACCAAAGGGGGGTGCAAACATGTCGCGCTGCCTGTCACTCCTCCTCCTCCTCCTCCTCCCCCTTCTCCTTCTCCTCCCCCTCCTCCTCCTTCTCCTCCTCCCCCTCCTTCTCCTCCCCTTTTTCCTTGTAAATACTTCCTCCCTGTTGCACCCCGAGGCCAGTTTTTAGGGCAGGCCGGGCGTGTCGACTGAAACTTTCCCACCATGTATGATTCTGAAGCTAAAAATTCGCATCAGCTTCACAGATGGAGGGCGGGTCGTTTTCAAAATGTGGCTCTCGCCTTGCCGCCGCGCGCATTCTTTTCAAACATTTGCAAGAATTAATCGGATTGTGGGCGGGTGGTTTTCAACACGTGGCTCTCGTCTCAGCGCCACGCACATTCTTTACAAACAGTTGCGAGAGTTTCACAGATTGAGGGCGGAGGGTTTTCAAAATGTGACTCTCGCCTTGGCGCCGCGCACATTGGTTTTACGGCACAGTTGAGCAAGCGTTTCACGGATTGAGTGCGGTAGGGGGTTCAAAATGTGGTTAGCGCCGCGCACATTCGTTTTTGAGCATGAGCAAGAGATTCACGGATTGAGGGCTGGTCGTCTTTAACATGTGGCTTTCGCCTTAGCGCCGCGCACATTCGGTTTAAAACAATTGCAAGAGTTCCGCGGATTGAGGGCGGCTCCTTTTCGAAATGTGGCTCTCGCCTCAGCGCCGCGCGCAGCCCTTTTTTTGTAGAACAAATGCAAGTGTGTCGTGGCCGTTTTCAGAATGAGGCTCTCGCTTCAGCGCCGCGCACATTCGTTTCAAACATTTGCAAATTTCACGGGTTGAGGGCGTTTCCTCTTCAAAAGGTGGTTCTCGCCTTAGCGCCGCGCACATTCGTTGCTAAACTTTGCCAGGGTTTCACGGATTCCCATGATCAACGTACCAGAAAGTGTGTGTTGTAAGGGCCCTGGACTATGCGGGCACAAGAGTTACGTTTATTCGCGGTGTTGAAATCCCAGGAGTGGCGTTCTGGCACGATTCAGGATCGTCACGACGCAGCAATCAGGTTGATCCGTGGCGTTGGGATCCCGAGAACAATGTTTTGGCATGCTTCAGGATCTTCAAACGCCTGTCTTCCAACGAGGCAGTTTCCCCATTGGAAACGAACCGCTGTAGAGGCAAATGAGGAGGGAGCTTGCGTCGCCCGCTCGAGGGGCAACGTCTCTGCATGCCCAGTGCTGCGCGACTGCGTGCCCCGGCAGCTCCAGAAGGGCGCCGCGATCGCCAAGGAGGAGCGCAAGGCTGGTGGGGAGCGCGCGCTGGCCAGCGGTGGCGATCATGGCTGCGGCGGCGGCGGTCGTGGCCGAGGCCGGGGCCGAGGCAAGATGGAGAAAGGCGGGCGCGGGGCGTCCGCCGCGGGCGCATGAGCATCTCCGACTCGAGCTGCTTGGGTAACCGACACGCCGTCCACGCTACGGACAACACCAGCCCAGCGGATCGAGGACGGCCGAGGGGGAGGAGGAGGAGGAGGAGGAGGAGGAGGAGGAGGAGGAGGAGGAGGAGGAGGACCAGTGTAAACCCGAGAGTCATCAGCGATGTTGGAATTAACCCTCCCTCGCGATGCGACGCACCAGGCTCGTCTTTGTCAAGGTCTCCGTCTGAGCGCCGCTTGTTGCGCCACCCGAGCGGCGTACCTGCGACTCGCAGGATGAATGGTGTCACCAGAGGAGTGTTCTGTGGCTGGCCAGTGACCAGCCCCCAAAGTTCACGTCCACCAGCATCTGGACCGCCTGCGCGAGGTCCCGATGCCTCTCACCACGGATGTCGTGCTGCACGGTCATGATGCGCAGGTCGCCACCCCGTCCGAGCGCCGCGCCCGCTGGCCCCTGCAGCTGCAGCGGCTGCAGCGGCGGGGGCGACGGCGACGCCTCCTGTCGAGGCTGCCACTACAGCGCGCCGCTGGCAGCGGGGGCCGCAGCCAGCGCCGGCGGCGTCACGAGCGCCCCAGGCGCGCCGCCTGCACCGACACCGCCGCCTCCGAGCGCCGCGGTCAGGCCGGCCACGCCACCGGCCGCCCCGGCGCCAGGGTCCGGAGTTGCGGCGGCTGGCGCGCACCTTGCTGTTCCCGCTGCAAGCACGCGGCCGCCCACGTTTGGCACCACGGCCACTCCAGGTGGCAACCCTATCATCGCCTCCACGGTCTGCTGGGCCGTAGCGATCGTCCTGGCGAGGGGGAATGCACGAGAGCGATACTCTGCATCCCCACCAAGCCCTGCCGCGGCTCCTCCAGCAGCGCACTGGTCGCACACGTGGCAGTCCGCGACGTCAGGGCCGCCGATGACGATCTTCATATACAGTACGCATCTTCGCCGGGAGCGAGAAGTCCACGCCCCACGGGGCAGCGACCGCGAGGCTCAACGCCAGCCGATCATGCATACACGCCGGCCCACGACATGAAGTTCCCCAGCTGCACTCTAAGGTTGACCAGCGGATGGGCGACTGCTGGGGCGGTCATTGTTCAGAGACTGCCTATGCCCGCCGCGGGCTTGCGGCCGCCTGATCCCGCACGATTTTCTCAGTCCTCACGTCCCCGAGCGGCTCCCGCAGCTGGCGCAGCCGCTGGCCGACAGAGCCAAGCACGCGCAGGCAGCGAACACGGCCAGCATCATTGGGCTTGTGGAAGCCGACCCATGGAGAAGAGGCATGTTGGCAAACCATATCTAGATGTGTTTTTTGAAGTTAAAAATGTATGTTTGAATGTGTCAATGATGAGTGTATGTTCTGTGAAGCTAAATTAAGATGTTGAATGCATGTAGGTACATGTTTTTATGTTCGACATGTATTTCGCATACGATCAGCACTGTCTTTGCAATTGCGCCTTAATGGCGGGGAATGATCTGAGCGGTGTGAATGCATCTTCTACTGTAGAGGAAGAGGGCCGCATTATTTTCACATGTGCGAGTCTTTGGAGCACACTTGAGGGCTCCGTGGCCTGCCTCTTGCCGATGGACCCGGACAGCGCGGAGCGGCGCAGGGTCGCCCGGGCATGGCTCGCCGCGCGGGAGGGGGAACGCGCCCCGGACTGACCCCTTGGGCAAGCTCTCCCGGGGCACCTCGCGCGGGGCCCCCGGGGGCGGCCCCCCGCCGGGCAGGGGCAAGCCCGAACGGCCACGACGGCGGGAGCCCGCTCAGCGGGTGCGCGCCCGCCAGACGCCCGGCGGCGGCGCGCCCGCGGGGGGGAGGCGCCGGATCGGCAATTTCGAGGGAGCGCGCCCGGGAGGGCGCGCGTTGGCGGGGCTCCCCGATGCAAGGACACTTCAAACAGTTGCAGCGCATCTCGTCCAGACGTTTTCGGGGGCGCCCCGCGGGTGGCCGGGATGCAATTTACATGTGTTGTTTCAAATGTATTGTCATGTCGTTTTGTCAATGCTTCGGGCTGGACGCATTCAACAAATAGTCGAAAAGACAGCTCAAACCATTGAAAAACATCAGAGGCGCACCTCTGCGTTTTTCAAACAATTCGAACACTTATTTTTCAAGGCAAGAAGCATCTGATAGGTGGTTTAATGTTTCTCGGGGGGCGCCCAGCGAGAAGGCATCGACCAAAAAAATGAATAATCATTTCGCCGGACACTTCTGAGGACTCCCGCCCCGCTCGGGGCATCCCGCGGGTCCCCCCCCGCGGCCCCCTCCTTATTCAGTTTCTGTGCAAAACGAGCATTCGGATCTACCCCCCGTAGAATTGAACGGTCCCTTTCGCGCGTGGATATTTACATATGATCCTGCCCCATCGTCCATCCTAAATATGAGTTCGCACCATCTCGGGCAGGCCGGCATTGCAGCTTCTGTGCAAAACGAGCATTCGGATCTACCCCCCCTAGAATTGAACGGTCCCCTTCGCGCACGGATATTTACACATGATCCTGCCCCATCGCCCATCCTAAATACTAGTTCGCACCATCTCGGGCAGGCCGGTATCGCCCCCCGAAAACAATTTGCGCGCGCACCCGTTGATCCAAAAAGGTAAGTTGTCAAGAAGGCCTCGCAAGGAAATGCGACGAAATGTGTGTGCGCGCGGTGTCGCTCGCGCGTGCCTGAATCTTACAAAAAAACCTTAGCTTTCGTAAGGCGTTCAACATCGAATGTGCCAAAAGCCTATACAACACGTGGTTTCGCAACAGAGAGGTTCAAACAAACTTGCGCTCGCGTTCTTGCAGAATCTGAAGAAAGCCCTTTAGGTTCGGGACATTTTCATCAATTGCTGCCAAAAGCGCGCCTCTCGCGGGCGCATGTCGAAATCGCTCGAACGCCCTTGCGCGCATGTTGTCGTAAGAGCCCCTTTGCAGAACAACTGGACGAAGTGCACACGCGCGTGTCGTCGCGCGGGCATGTGGCACTCCTTCAAGAACCCTGTGATTCGTAGGGGGTCCAAATCGAGTGGTTCGAAAGAACATTGAAAAACCATGGCGTCGTAACAACAGTTCTGAAACATGTCTGCGCTCGCGTTTCTGCGAATTCTTCAGGCTACCGAAGGTCCTTCAAACTTTCCATTAATTTCTGCCAGACGGGCCTCTCGCGCCGCATGCCGAAATCACTCGAATTCCCTTGCGCGCGTACGGGGGGGGGCACCATCCGTTTCAAATAATTACATGCGGGCTAGGCTCGCGCGTCGGCCGCGTGCGCATGTCGAACTCTTTCCACAAACTTCATCACCGACGCAAAGACTCCGTCATCGTCGTCGGCGTGACCAGCGTCGGCGAGGTCACTGGCCTTTAAACCAGCATCGCTACTACCATAACCGTGTCCACCGTTGTCGACGTTGCCATGATGCCGCGCCCGCCCAAGTCGCCGACTCGCGCAAGTTTGCGCGGCCGCAAGGATGCACCAGCCAGCGCCCAATCCATCGCAATCGCCGCCGCATGGATTTTGCAAACCAGGTTGCGTGTGGGTGGGTGGGATGATTGTGCTGGCAGTGGAGTGGACAACTTCAAGTTTTGACATGGTGAAGATTCCCCTACAGGACTCCCCCACGGCCCACGGGAATCCCCCAGAGGGCTTTCCCATAGGGGGTCCTCCCCCACAGGACTTCCCCATCGGACTCTCCCGTGAGGCTCCTCCGCAGGACCCCCCTATAGGACTCCCCAATCGGACTCTCCCGTGGCACTTCCACAAATGATTCCCCCGTGGGACTCCGTCAAAGGATCCCATTGGACCTGGACCCCAACAGGACTCTCCCATAATATTCCCCCCACTGGACTCCCAAATGGGACCCACTCGTAGGACCGTTTCATAGGACTCTCCCAAAGGACTCCCCTTTTGTTCGCCAGAGGGGGCGGCCCACGCGCAGGGATCGCTGAACGCATCCGATGGCGCATGTTGGAAGCATTTTTACACATCTCCTGGGTTGGAGCTTGGAACAGCATTGAAACATGTGAAAACAGCAATAACTCAATGAGTGGATTGTTAGAGTGCCCATTGCCACGGCATGCACAACATTGGGTCGCACAGGCCTGATTATGTCCAGGTTGCCTCGGCCACCACCGACGTCTTGCAGAGCAAAAACGGGACACTCAGGCGCCTGTGCCGTTGAAGCGATGGCGGCGGTGGTGGCAGAATGGGTGGCCTCTCCAAGGAGACTGTTGGTGGTTGTCTTCATCTGCTACGCATTTGGACCAAGAACGTCGGTAAGCGAAGTTCGACCCCCTCGCGCTTCGACCATACAAACTGTTGTCAAACTGTGCGTGCATGTGTGCGCAATACCTGTGTATATACATACATGCGTACATACGTACATACAGACATACATACATACGTACATACACATGTACACATACGTATACACATCAGCAGTGTCCAGGGCCCTGGGCCTCAGTGGAGCACGCTTATCCCAGATTCCCCCCTCTCCCCTGTACCCACTTTTGGCCCTGGGGGCCAGCGGGCATTTCTTCGACACCCCCCGGGCGGCACTCGGGGGCCCCGAGATGGGTGAAAACGGCCGCAGACCGGCTCAAGCACGCGCCAGCAGCTCCCCATGACTGCCAAGAGTTGCCCAAGACGGCCCTACAGGGCTCCGAGACGGCCGTCGATGGCTTCACCAAAAGAGATCCCTATGAGGAGTCGAGATAGGGCCTGAGTGGACAAACGTATTGGATGTGTACGATTTTAGTGTTCTCGTTTTCGAGCTTCCGACAGACCAAGACGGCCACATGGGCCCCGCGTCCAACTGGGAGGGCCCCAATACGACCCAAGAGGGCCCCAAGACGGCTGAAACGTCTCCCACGATGGCCCAAGAGGGCCCCACGAGAACCCTTCAAGAGGGCGCCAAGAGGGCACCAAGAGGGGGCCAAGAGAGGCTTTGAGGAGTCATCCTGGAGGTTTTGGGCTTCCGTTCTGCGCCCAGTGCTTTTTTTTTGGAGGCCCCAGGAGGTCCCCAGGAGCCCCCCGTCAGGTCTCCC